GAAATCAATATATTGGTAACTCTTCTTTCTTTCTTTCTTTCTTTCAATCAAATGCCATCAATTGAATCACAAAAACCAAAAAGCTTACAAGGTTTCCTCTCGGTCTCAGACTACGAGTAGTATCTTCCATTTCGGCGATGTCCGTCGCGTGAGTCCCAAAAAAAAAACAGCGAAAAAAAACTTTAAAAAGACTGATTGATGTTAGCGTGCCCTGAACCCCACTCGTGCGACGGACTTCGCCAATCGTAGTCTATCCCAGTCGCCAATGCTACTCATTTGACTATTGCCAGGGCGTAGAGTGCACATGCTCCGAGAAGAAACCCACTGACTCCTAGCAAGTCACTTCCATCACTCCAGTCGCAATCTTCAGAGTCGTCAGTAAACTGTCTGAACTGCGTGGGAACACTGACAGTATTAGGATCGTAATTGCAGTATTCCTCGTTACAACACGTGATATTACAATCTGTGACTTCTCCAAAATCCTTTGACACACTTCCACAGAATTCCTTTCCGCAGTCGCAAGATTTCTTATTTACACAGCTCTTGCCGTAAACTCTAATGCCAGAAGTATTTACGAAAGAGAAGATTCCACAGCGATCAGCGTCTCCTGCGTGAGTCGAACAATGTGCCTTTTGGATCTTGTTATCGCATACTTGGAGGGAGGACTGCATACCTTTGTACAGATAACAACTGAATCCACCAGCTATTGATAGGAAACCAACAAAAAAACGTTAGTTTTATAACTTCAGTATGTAGCAATTGGCACAACTAAAAGGAAAGTCGAATTTCAGAAAAGGAATGCTTACAGATGCTCAAAACGAGGGCTGATCAACTGAATAAGGCTCGCTAAGTCTAGTAGACGAGGCTACAGATATAATTTCTTTCCTTGTTGAAGATCGAGTTGACGGCGCAGTGAACACCTCGTTCTGGAGAATTTCGCGCCAAATTCGATCTTTTAAAATGACATAGTAGTCGTGACGTAGTAGCTGTGACGTAAGACCCCACATAGACTGTTCCATTTCAAGTTTGACGTGTCCTCTCCACTATGGCATTTTTGGCGGTTACACGGCACTAATCCATTTCGTTTTGTACTAAACCATTTGTCGTCACGCAAACCATTTTGGGTCACGCTAAACCACTTCACTCTTTAACAAGCAGATTAATGCGATACTAAACCAATGCGCCTTATGATTATTAAAGGCTGGTTTTCACTTGCGACGGAGTCGTAGTCGGAGTCGTAATCAGAGGCGTGGAGCGATACGATCTAGTGAAAATCAAACCGACGGAGTCGGAAGCAGAACACTGATTCTGCCTATGACTCCGTCGCTTACGATCTAGTGAAAACTGCATTGTCGGAGTCGGAAGCGGAAGCGGAAGAATAAACCAATCACAATCCTCGATTCCATCTTTCCAAAATGCACAAATAGCCGTAACAAATTTAAACTTGTGAGCTTGACGGTAAAATTACGAAATTAAAAGTTAAAATACTCGAACTGAACCTACCGAAAGTACGATTCACGATCACCAAGTCGTAGTTCGCTGACGAGGTTAGCATACTCTTCCTAGGTTGCTCGACGTCGATAGATATCACGAACCCAAAATTGCTTTCTTTTTCGAACGATATTATTCCTGCATTGTCTCTACCTGCGCAAAATAATGATTAATAAGAGCCAAAGTTGCTCTTCGTCCGCCATATTTTCTTTGGCGCCAAAATTTGCACTTTCGCGGGCCTGGAGTCGAGCATTGTGATTGATTTATTCTTCCGCTTCCGACTCCGACAATGCAGTTTTCTCTAGATCGTCAGCGACAGAGTCATAAGCGGAATCGGAAGAAAATGGGAACGTTCTGATTCTTCCGACTCCGATTCCGTCGAGCTTATGACTCCGCTTACGAGCCCTTTTTTCGATTTTCACTACGTGGGTCATAAGCGCTCTTACGACTCCGACTACGACTCCTACTCCGACTCCGTCGCTAATGAAAACCAGCCTTAACCATTTGCCATTTCACGGTCTTTCGCATTACTCTGAACTGTTTTTGTCAACTCACTGAACTAAAGTACGCTTAGGGAGGGTACGTTTTTTCTTGGGGGTGGGAGAGGGGCCGAGGAATTTTGGCATTTGTTTTCCAAAAAAAACCTTGGCCCTCCCTTGCGTTTTAATAAAAAAAAAAAAAAAACTACTGACCCCTCACCTCTAGGTGACTCCAAAAAGTGCGACCCTCCCCACAATACTTCATGGCATGTACACGGGTTCTCCGAGAAAACTATGTGTGCATAATATCCATGTAGAAATGTAACTTCGAACCTATAATTAAATCAAAGTAGGTGAAAAGAAAAATTTAATCTGTAAAAAATGAAAAACAACACAAAAATCCTCATTATAAAATTCTGGAAGAGGTATGAACTTCCCCTATTGGTGTTCACTTTCACTGATGCGGACCCTCCTCTCTGAGGCCCTAGCCTCTCCCCCCCTCACCCCCCAAAAAAACCTACCTTCCCTTAGCTACACTGTTTGGCATGACTTTGATAAATAATGTCACAGCACGCTGATCCATTCAAGACTTGACTTTGTCATTTCGACATGAAAAATTACACCAATTGTCTTTGACGCTTACCAATTCTGTGTGAACGACAATAACTGCAAAATAACACTGACCATTTCAGATAACACTTCACCACTCGTGTTTTTATTGAATCAGTTCAACAAGAGTGGCTACCCAGTTTCTGAGTTGTATAAATCATTTTTTGTTTGAATATTTCATTTCACCAACTGCGACTTGTCTAATTTGTGTTTTAAATAAATCTCTTTAAATAAGATAAACCGTTCTCCGAAAGACAATTAGACCATTTCTGTTTATTTCAAATCGGTTATTATGCTCGTATTTTTGGCGGTGACGGCCACCTATAGTATGATGTCAGTGAAGAAATGTTTGCTAGCCTTTTATTGTACCTCTAGTGTCACATGACAAAAAGAGTTCCTGGGTTTTGCGGCATATTTCTTCACATGGGGTCAGATGTATAGAACCCCAGTTACTCTACAGAAGTGCACTTTTTTACTTTCTCCCTGCCAAGCAAGGAATCATGGGCCAGTGAGTCCTCAGTGAATGCATGGATGCCATTTCCCGTCCTCTTTGACTCTCGAATTTAAGAAATCATGTTAACTTTAACTCAAGATATTTGACAACAAGCTTCGTTTTCTCCACCTTTAGTCACATTTGAATACAATACTTTAGAACTTACCATACGTTACCTAAAAGCACAGAATCGAGCTGAAGAAAAGAAGTTCTTTCATCATTGTCTTCCAGAAAAGATTGAGAAAAGATGGAGCTGTATTTCCTTGCGAACTTTTCAGTTCATGGTACTTAATGTGATGTTGGAATGTAAATATCAATTATCGAAACAAGTTCGACAAGTTCTTTAAATGATCATTACAGATTTGGAATGACAACACAGTTACGTGCATTCTAAAAAACAATATGATCTTTGGTAGAAAATTATCATTTAAAAAACGTTCGGAAAAATGATATTGGAGCTTTCTCCCTGTTTATTTTCCAAGTTAAATTGGAATTATGGAATTAAGGAAACGAAGAATCCGGTCCAGTTTTCTTTTCTGTCGAGTGTAGTATTTTGATAAAGATCACGAAAAGTTAGGGGTTTCAGCCGAGATCTTCTTAAGTTTTGCCTCTATTGTTCGGATTTGGAATTGTACTGTCCTTTAATGACAAACTACTCTCTAAGAAAACATTCCTTTGTTGTCTCTCCGAATGATTTGGCTGTTCAAGAGAGGCCTTAAAAACCGCTGCTTCACTGTTTTTAAAAACACTTGAATTGTGAATCCTGCCGATCCACGGCTTTATGAGGGATCTCAGTATACTGTGAAGATCTCATAAGCAATGCATGACATAAAACGGTGAATTCAAAAAAAGTGCGGAGAAATTGATCTAAAAGGGGCTCTCAATGGGTTTCGAATAGGCGCAGATAGACAGGGTGGTTGTGGTATGTTTTTTTGTTTGAGATGGTTCCGCCTTTCAAACAATTATGTCAGTAAACGAAGAGAATGTGAGCCGGTACAAGTTTAATTCTTAATCAGCAACAGTTTGTTTCTTCTTTAGTCTACCACTAACTAAAGGTATTTTATAGTTGTTGTTTTCTTTTCACGACAATTCACAGAACAAATTCCAACTCAGTCTTTTTCTGAGGGTTGTGACACATGATATTGGTAAACACTGTGGTAGTGTACGAACCGAATTCTTACATCAGGTATTAATATAATTTCAGAGCTGAGCAAAGAGTTTCCAACAATCTGATTGGTCGAGCGGTTCCTTATATGACGCTATATAAACCGCTCCACGCGGTTTATATAAAATGTTAAAAAAAATGTTAATAAATGTTACTAAAGTGTTATGATTTTAGAAATTTCTCTGTTGTTCAGCTCTGAAATTATACTAAAACAATTATTCGCCTCAGGTTCGGTGAATATTATCGAATAATCCCCGAGACGAAGTCTCGGGGATTATTCGACGATATTCACCTCGCCTTGGGCGAATAATTGTTAATTATCGCTCGTGTGCAGGGCCGGACGGTTTAGCGTGAGCCGTTCCGGAAAAACTGTCCGGCCCTGCAACCCGACGTCACGTCACTTTGTTGCAAAAAATAAACTAAAATAAAGGAAAACTGAAATGAGAAAAAAATCGAGTTTTCAAGGAGTTAGGAGTTTCTTGTTCTGACATGACTAAAGGAAAGTTTTAAAAGGAGAATTTTTTTGTGCTCGTGTGACTACGTGTGCCCATCTCTCGCGTCCTATTTAGGTCAGTGGAAATTATTAACACTTAGTGATCGTGGTCGGGCCTGACGGAAAAATATTTGGCTGTCGGTGATGAGGCACGGAACTCGCTGCGCTCGGTCCGTAAGTCATGACCTCGAACCAAAACTTTCCCCGTCCAGCCCTCCCACTCAGTTAGTAACTACATAATACTGCTATCCACAGCCCCAAAAAGTTGAGTTTTTTTTTTATGAATGTAACATGTTTAATTTATCATAGAGCTTCCTTTTTTTCCTCGTGCGGTGCTTTTTTCTTTCCTTTTTTTTTAAGAAAGTTACAAGACAATGTTAACATTACAACTAGCAGTGCTTCTGAAATCTATAAAACTGTTCTTCCTTCTGTACAAATATAGGGTATCATTGCGAGCTTGCACTTGAACGACTGAACTTTATGCAACCATTAAGGAACACTAATTATCATTTTGCATTGACAAACATCTCACAGAAGCGGTACTTAAGCAAGCATACCAGTTTCTGCACTCTGATGAGTGCGACTTGAAGAAAACAAAATTTTGTGTACAAATTAAGAGCATTCAATAATAGTTAACTTGAGTTGTAATAGTCACAACATCCAGTCAATCTGTTGAAGTAAAATTCTTGACGAATGTTTTATAGTCCATCACCTGTCCTTCTCCTTCACTCTGTGACATATCAATAAATTCTTGAAGGTTCATTGTGCTCTCTAGGAAATAAAGAGTAATTGAAATCCAGTGTGGAAGTAAGAGGTTAAAGTTGCAAAGGAATCGTTTTAATCTGCCATCAGGTGTTACATCAACTGCCTCGTTTTTGCAAACGTCCATCCCTTAAGTTTTAACACTCAAATGAGGCTACTACTAAACAATGCCTATTTGTTACATAACTCACCTTCAGATCTGATAGGTGAGTATGGAGGAGGAGGTTTTACCCAATCCCCATTTGGCTTCTTCATATGAGACCGATCTGAGGCAAATGTACTCAGAAATATCTCTGCTGGTATGACTCTAAATTTTCTGTATTGAATGAAAAACATCTTCATAAGTCTTCAAATTTGGATTTATTAATGAGTAATAAAACAGACCCTCTCTACAACTTGTAGGATCTAAATATCATATTCAGTCACTACTATTTCTATGACAAGACAATTGACATTCTAATTGCATCAAAATGTGCTCAAAACTTTCTTAGGTCTTGCAGCTAGTAGTGGCTAGGGGAGCTAAGGGTTTCTATACTGGTAGTAATGTCAATATTTGATATTAGCCAACAAAACATGTATTTAGAGCAGAATATGCTTAAAAGTCTGAATTCCTACATCAATAACATAATTTATCACGTCAGTATAAATTCCAAACTTTGCTGAACATGTGGAGTCAATTGGTGCTCTCCCTCCCCCAATTTGTGAAGCTAAAGTTACAAGGAGGTGTGGAGGGGAGGTGGGGTAAGAAAAGAAGCTGCAAAGCCTAAAGTTGTATAGGGTCTAAGTTGCACAGTTGTAATTACACATATCTGCATCAGATATGGATGCATTTAACTATCCATAATTCTTCCCAATTTTGTATAAATCTTTACTAACATGTCCAGGGCCTTTCAGTTTAAAACATACAGCATTAGAACAGAAATTACCTGTGGAAGTGTTTTTTAAGTTGTCTGTCATTTTGGATTGCCTGTTGGATGTATTGCTCAAATGGACAAGGGAAAGGAAGAATGGAATCCAAGTCATATATCAAACACTTGTCATTCACCCGACGTAGCAGAAGTACATGGTAGTCCTGAAATAAAAAAACTTACTGAGTACATCGAACACATACAAAGGTTGATTTTCCACCATTTTTTTGTTTTTAAATTACATAATTTATTAATACCTTAGAAAGTTTCAAGCTTTTTTTTGGTTCAATAGTTTATAATCTACTTCCCTTTTACACCATGCCTAAGTATCTATGTTATAAAAAAACACCCCTGATCTTTCCTTTGAGGACTAACATTTTAAAATAAAGCAAGAGAAAAATTAGAAATCATAGCTTCCTTTCAAATAAAAAGAGATAAGCTTAATTTATTATTATACCATTAATTATAGTATCAAACATCTGACCATAATCCTTTTTTGTTCAAACACATTGAGGCTTGAGATTTTAAAACAATCTCTCTTTTTCAGAGTTTAAAAGAAGTTTGACCAAAAAGAAATCCTGCTTCATCATTCACCAAAGCCCCCTTACTTTGATTTAACCCCCCTACTTTGATTTAACCTCAAATAGGAGGGCTTATCTCATATCACAAAGTTATTGACTTACCCAAACAACAGGAGCTAAGGGGTCTTTTGCAGATTTTTGCATCCATAAAGGAACCTGGTTGATAAACATATCACAGAAGATTAACAAAGTTTTCAGTAAGCAAGTATGCTTTTATCAAATTTTTTAAAAGATAATCTTTTAGATTTTATACAAAGCGGAAAACCTACCTGTCTTTTATCATTAGATATGAACACTGAGTAATATTCACTCAGGTTTTGCTCTTTTTCATCTCTTATCTGCTCACATAACTTCCAAACATTTTCTTCACTATAAAAAAGAGTAAGTACATCAAATAAAGCATTACTTCCTTCACTCAGGGTTTTATTTGACAGGCACAGCTTTTAAGATCTATTTTTTCTTATCTTTCCTGTCACCTAGTCCAATGTTGTTCAAAACTGAAAATAAAAACCCTAACTTGTTTGAGGCCATGATTGTTCTGCAACATTGAATAGAAGGAATGGGCTATTTACGAAAAGAAAAAAGGTTGTATGAATATGCAAATGACTACTGATATATAGATAGTATCCACTTAATGCCATTTTGACCTAAGTAACGTTCAGTTTGGGATCCTACGTCTGAAAGGAGCAACCTGATTAAAAAAAAGTCTATAAAGAAAGAAATGCTCCTCTTACAATTCCAACCATTCCTGAAGTAAAATGAAAATTTAATTTCGAAACCTCGCATATAACAAAATCAACCGTAATCCAACTTAACAGGCTTCAAAATCTAAAAAAAAAAAAAGGACCAGAGCCAAAAAAAAGAATTGATATGTCTTGGTCAATTTCCCCTAACATTCTACGATAAAAAGACAAGGATCAAACTCCTTATAAATATGACCCTTTTGTTAAAATCAAACAGTTTTGGCTTTCCTTTTACCAGCTTACATGGGAAAACCCCGCGAAAACATTTACAATTTCACGAGCAAAAAATAGATCAGACAGCGAAATGACACGGAGTCCTTATACAAAGTCATACTGGTATTTGATACACACGATAGGCAAATAAAGGAAATGATAAAGGTCTTGACAATCGTAGAAGAATTTCGTTGTAAACTGTGTACTGTACAATCGATTAAGAGGAACCTTGGTAGGGTCCACAACTCGATTTGTTGCCGATGAAATTATTTGTTTTTAGTTTTTGTACGACTGGCTTTAACAGAAAAAGACAAAAAGCTTTATCAAAAAGGTATTCATGATCCAACGTACCAATAACAGCTCGTGTAGACACAGGTTGACGGCGAGATTTCCCCTTTTACTTCAAGCGATGTTTTCGCCTGCATGGCCATCCAAAACAACAAATATGATCTTTTGATACCCACAACGAGGCTATTGGTGACGTCCGCTGAACATCAGTACTTAATGCTCAGAGCTAATATGGCGAAAGTTAGGAAGGTATTTGTCACTGTGGGAACAACAAGTTTTGATCGCTTAATTGAAACAGTCACTAGCAAAGCATTTTATGAGGTACCTATGATGGTCCCCACGATACCCATTATTGAATATACCACTGCTACTTTTTTCAACTGGTGATCGCTCGCTTTGCTCATTCACAATACCAAGTTATACTTTAAACTGGCAATATTCTTTTCTTAAAACAAGTGATAGCTGTTATGAACGGGAGACTCGCCTGGTGATTCGATAATTTAAACCGAAGCTGGCCCTTTGGAACCAGTATGAATCGACGACTCGATCGTAACTTGAAATAGAAGAATTACTTCTCTTCGCCGGGAATCAGCTGTTTATTTAGAAGCCATGGAGGGACTAGTTCCCGTAGAATGAGAATAATTTTTATCAACTATTTTTCAGCTTAGAATGAGAATAATTTTTATTAACTATTTCTCAGCCGAAATTATAATTCTACTATTTTACATTTTTTCACAGCTGTTTGAAAACCTTGGCTATGGCTCTGTTGTTCTACAAATAGGAAGAGGTGTTTTTGAGCCAGAGACCATAGATAGGAAGAATTTTTCAATGCAATACTACAGATATAAAGATTCAATAGCTGAAGATATACAAAGTGCTTCACTTGTGATCAGTCATGCTGGTGAGGTCAAGTTTTATCCACCTGTAAATCACTAGTACACCCATGATAATTGACACTGAGTACTCATATTATTTTTCTGTGGATACTATTCACATATGGCTTGAAAGTTAACCTAATTATGCAAACATATAAAAAAGAGGTAGACTTGTCAGGTTCAATTACTCAATACTAACTGGTGTCTAATGCAAAAACTAATACCTCATCACTATGCTACGTAACTTCATTGACACTTACGGTGTACTTTCATTTTTTTCTCTTTAACTCTTAGGAGCTGGAAGTGTCTTAGAAACTTTACAAGCAGGACGACCACTAATTGTTGTAATCAATGAACTTTTGATGGAAAATCACCAGTTGGAGTTAGCAAGTCAACTTGCTGAAAATGGTCATTTATATTATGCTACTTGTAGGTATGTTATTTCTTGTGTCATAATTTGGTCAGCCAGGTTTTGGGCAGGGGCCAGATCTTTGTGATTAGAGTTAGAAGTTGATATAATGAGAAATGTGGTGAATTTCTTCCTCAATCAAGGAACAAAGAAAGATACTGAATTCAAATGTAATGTATGAAAGCAATCCTCACAGTAATAACCCCTACTTATAGGTAAAGGTAAGCCTGCGCACAAGCCAGGTGGCCCATCAGGCTGGCCCTTAAATCCTGTTTCTGTAGCATGAAGCAACTATAAGTATTTCTACTCCTCTCTGGATGTGATGCTAGTCCATGGCAGGCTTACCCCCCGCATTAAATTCGCTGGTGCCCATTTATACTCCTGGGAGAGGACAGACACTGTGAGAGTAAACTGAGCTAACAAGCCAACTGGGAGCTGGTCATTATGTTGGTTTATATTAAACCTGTCAAAGTGATAAATCAATGAATATGAACACATGAAAATCATATAATATTATGTGCTCGCGGCTTCATGAAATGTATGAAAATGCTTTATTTCAGGCCTTATTTCCATTACTTTGTAAGTATGGTTTATTACTGCGAGGATCGCTCTCATACATTTCATGAAGCTGCAATACACATACATGATTTTCATATGTTGAAACTTATCGATTCATCACTTCAACAGGTTAAATATGAACCAACATAATGACCAGTTCCCAGTTGGCTTGGTTGCCCAGTTGGTGTCACAGAGGTCATAAGTTCAAATCCCATATGGGCCTGAATTTTTTTTCAGGCCTTATTGCCAGTACTACATAAGTAGGGTTTATTACTATGAGGATTGCTTTCATACATTTCATGAAGCCACAGTACACATATATGATTTTCATATATTCAAATTCATTGAATTCAAATGTTTTTTTGGAACCAAAAAAGTTTTAAACCACTGGCCTTCTAATCCCTTTGGTTAGATGCTCTACCAACATAGGCACACAGGTCATTTACTTCATGCTGGTTGGCCTGTGCACCATAACAATCGGGCACATGTAACACTTCATGTGTTGTCTGGGGTTGGTACCAAAACAGAAAAAAAGTTTCTGTTTACAAAATTTTTTTGGAAAATTGCATGTGAATTTGGTTGTTGATTGATAACCATGAAACCTATTAGGGCAAGGGAAGGAGTAATTTTATTGTGAGTAAAAAATTAATGTGATAGGGTTAATCAGTTATATTTAGAGGTCTGGTTTTATATTTTGTCCTACAGCACACTAGAATCGATCATAAGAGAACAGAATTTGTCAAAACTGAAACACTTTCCTTCTGGCAAACCTGAACTGTTTTCGTCATTCTTGGACAAGGTCATGGGATTTGATGATTCATGACTAGTGCTTTGTTAGCAAATGCTCAGTAGCACCATGAATACTGAATAATGGTTTTGTTGAGCTGATGTGGAAGACAAGACTCTTGTAATCAAGGAATTCAGTGTGATCAGTTGTACATTGTTTCACGGTAGCCCCATGTTCAGATCCTTGGTCATGCTCTGTAAATAGCCAACTGGTTTGCCTCCGGCCGGTTGGGGTTCTTAATGATGTTCTTAATGATGTTATGTTCAATTTAGACCATTTGTTTCATTTGTTTGCAAGGACCACAATGGAAACCTCCGATTCACCAGTAATTGTGTAATCCTAAAAAAAGATTTTTTTTTTTTCTATTTTATTGCCACAGGAAGGAACATTTAACAGTTATGTTTTATACATTATAACTGGGGCGGATCCAGTGATTTTTTATTGGGGGGGTCCAAACTTTGGTTCACAAAGGACTGTTGGACTCTTTCGAGGCAAATTACTTCTTCCCCACACCCCTCACACCCCTCCCACCAGTTGCGGTTGCATGTTATAATTCCTTGGCCGCTTACCGTTTACTTGGATTCATTAAAAAGATCAGCCAGTTAGAAAGTGATATACGATCCTGTCGATATAAGAATTTCAGTTTCAAAGTTGTAAGCATCAGGGCTGTTAGGGGGGGATCTGGGCCCCCCAGACCCTCCCCCTGGATCTGCCACTGTTATAAAGTACAGAATACAACTCGGCATGATAAGCTGATAAGGTATCGAAAAATTAACGACAAATAATTGTAAAGCTATATTCTAAGGAGATTACATAGTGAAATGGTAAAGGCAAGGCTTGTCTGGTTGAGAGGGAACAGTATTAAGCTTATTTGACAAAAAATCCAAGCCTGGAGTTTTAGAAAACAACCTGATAAGAAGTAAGTTTATTGCTAACTCCAATAAGTGCAGTAAGTGCTTTATCAGTTAGTATTTTCCAGTACCGTGTGGCATATCATGGTCAAGTTTATGGACACAGTAACAAGTAAAGCTTTTTTTGTAAAGCTGCTTTGGACAAAGAGAGATGAAGACTTTCAAATAAAATGTATCTCATGGTTACAGTTCGGACACTAAATTACATCCACTCAGTCCACTGGGCAATGGTAAGGAAGGGGACTGGTCACCAGGGTTTTTTGTGGCAAAATTAATTTCACACACGGTTTGAGTAGAGCTGCTGCATTTGATAATTTTGCAAGTAGGACATCAACTTATTCTCGACCCAACTTGGTTACACATTTCACTATATTCACTAAACCTCGGCAATTTTAAGAGTAAGTAAACATTTAACTTTCCGTTCAAATATAATTTTACAGATAACCCAGAACAAAGACTGCACATGTGAACAGAATAAGAATGCTGACTTGAACTCCTGCAGATGAGTTACAGAGGTCATCAGTGCAGCATTTCATGTGACATTTGACATTTTTAACCCCAGAGGTATTCATATTTTTACACATTAGATCTTTCTTGTCCGTACACTGCGCGGCAGTTGTGCAACCTTTTCGGTAAGTCTTGACTGTTTGTGAATTGATATCATAGAAGATTTCTCCTCTGTAGCAGCGATCAAACCAAGGAGCGCAGTCCACTTTTTCATTTTCAGAGCAGTCATCAAAGGACTTGGAGCTGGCACAGTTGTAGCATCTCAGCCCCAAAACTTGTATCAACCAAATTTATTCAAAAGGATCAACGCGTATATCATAAAGAGTTACTGGGGAGGAAGGGGAATATTTCTGGCCTAACCTGTGTCTCAGTTAATCCTGTTCACAAAATAAGAATGAAGAACAGGGAATGGTGAATGGAAAGTTAAGGAAAACTGAAAATTGGTAGAGTACAACCTAAGTATCAATTGTAGGTGGCGCGATGAGAAATTACAGGGGGGAACTAACGCAGTCCTCTACGGCGTACATTGTGAAGGAACGTATTAAACTTGGCTGTCCGGGCTCATGTTCTTAAATTACGCAACATTTGATTATTTTACAGAGGACGTCCACAAAGTTTAAAACGCTCGTGCAGAGATGTCGCTCTGCTTTTCAAACCTCTTTCAAAGTTCTCGTTGCTGTCGCCAGCCTGGTTGGCTCAGGCCTGTGTGGATCTTCGGCGATCCCGAACATGTTTAGAGCGAAGCTACACTATGGCGTCCTTATCAAAACTTGGAGAATTCGATAACACTAAAACTAGTTTGCGACACATTCGTGTAAATTGAGTTTACTCTAGTAATCATTTAAAGCCTTCACATAGATTGAGCCAAAGGAAAAGCAACGTTAGTTTCCTTTTAAGTGATAGAGGTCTCTTGGTATAGGGAAACAATCCCACATTTCAGAAGTTAAAATTTCATTGGCACCCTTTTTAAAAGAAAACAAACGGAAAAAAGAAGCAAATACTCGAAAGTTACTTTAAGATGACTTATTTAACTAGAAACTGATCAAATTTAATGGTCCACAATTGCAATCTTTTCCATCTTGAGCAATAACTGAAGATGGACACGCCACCCAGAAAAAAATTAACCAACGTCTCCAAGCGATTTGCTGCTTAATTCAGTGAAAAACGAGTTATTGATTTTGTGAACAAGCACTTTCTTTTTGAAGCTCGCTATCTAAAGATCAGGGTTAACACAAACATAAAATAAAAGCAAGTTTTCCTTATTTGAATTGGCTAGATTGAAATCTTTTCCTTTTCAACCGCACTCCGAACCATGTTTCGGACCAAGGCCATATATACGTTCCAAATCTTGACATGTTTAACCACCTATTGTTTTCAAGTGCTTTTTCCGCCGGGCATTGGCTGTAATTCAAGCAGAAATCTACATAAACGAGGTCAAATAACGACGCCAAACTCCTGTAGATAGATAGATAGATAGATTAGACTAGATTGATAGATAGATAGATAGATAGATAGATAGATAGATAGATAGATAGAGAGGGAGAGATAGATAGTTAATGGCTATATACATTGCAGCACGAAGGCTGAATTGCGTATATACAAATGTTTAAACTGATATAATGGGTACATAACATTAAATACTTTAATTATAGAGGTATGTAAAAAAGGGATAAAATACAATAAAAGGACTTAGAAAAACCTACGTATTAATATTAACGGTACAGGATCTTATAATAAAACTGTTTCTAAAACGATCTGTCTTGTATTTGGGTACGATGAAGCGCCTTTTGCATCGTAGGGCATAGCGTGACGGACCGCTAAGTTCAATTAACTTGTTCAGACGGTGTTCAGGGTCCTTTATAATGGTGTCGAAACTATTATTACATAGCCTCATGATGAAATCTAGAATGGGGACGATGTCCACTAATTCCTGTACTGTTTAACTAATTCCGTCAACCGCGCAGCCTCAAGTTTCAAAAACACAACCATTCTGCTATTGTTAAGGTAAATACACTGTAACAGCAAAACGGGCGAACGAGTCTTTGCCCCGTTACCATATTTTAAATTTAAAAAGAAAATGGGTATAAATAATGTGTGTCTTAGCCAATTATTCAACTTACCAACTGAATAGGTAGTAAGCACAAGCAAAAGTATCTGTCTTACTTTGTCCATAACCATAGTTAATCGAGGGGACCCAGTCCCCTCGATTAACTATGCCATAACTAACACACCTTTGGACGATCGTGCTTCACCGTATGTTCACGGTCAATATACTTGCCACCGCAAAAATAACAACAGCTTTATTGATTGATTTATTCCCAGAAAAGGAAAGTGTATTGTTTTTATTTTTTAATAAAACACGATGGTGAGAATTAAGTGCAATAATTTGGTTTGAACTTTGTTGACGTAACACTGGACAGTTATTGTTGCTCAAATACAACCAAACTGAACGAGAACAAAGGGGCACCAGCACCTAAATTAAATTTCCACGCGTACTAACTTTTTTAATCTTGAATAGGTACAATACTCTCCGCAGTTCTGTTAGGTTGGTAATTCATCTATGACTTATCATCCACATCTGATGTAATGGTTCATTACATCCTCGTTATTTTAATACAGTAGGGAACAAACTGAACCTACCACATACATTATTACTTGATCAGCGCAGCGATTAGTTTGTTAAAATGAGGCAAGAGTAATAGCAAACCGCCATCAACCCTACTGACAAGAATATACGTCTTTTCATCCAACGATCTGAAGTATTTCAACAACAAAATTCAACAACTTTATTTATACTCGATCAATAGGAGCTTGTTAAGCTCCTAGCGTGTACAGCTAGTGTGTCGAGTTAGCAAAATAATATATGAAATAAAGGTATTGAGTCAACAAATTGGCTAAAAATATTATGTATCAGGAAATTGGGAACAAAAGTAAAATTAATTGTATGATATAAAACTAATTAATTATTAAGAACCTATTGATATGACAGCAAGAAGATTGAAAATTTTATATATAGCATAAAAAACAACTACAAGTGTCGAACGTTATTTTTCTAATTTGAGAAACAAAATTTCTAATGGTAGGAGCAGCTCTTAGTTCATCCTGCAGAGAGTTCCACATCTTCGGACCGTAGTACCTAAAAGTATGGAGTCCATACTTGGACGTGTTTGCTCTAGGTAGAATAAGCTTCATTTTACTAGGCAGATTACGTTGATTACTTCTTAGTGACAGGAGACTACTAAGAGGTGTTGGTGTAGTTGCATAGATAACTTTATATATAAGTATACACGTCCTGAATCCTTCTATTTTGCAGGCTTGGCATATTTGCCTTTGCAAGTAATTCCTCATAGGTGCTAATGTTGTCATTAAAAATACATCTCATAGCACGCTTATTTAGCTTTTCGAGTTTGGCAGCTGCTGTTTTGCCACAATGCATCCATACAGTAGAGCAATAGGTAAAATTAATGAGGTAGAATATAGGCTTTGTACAACAAAAGTTTTGTTTTAGTACTTAACAGCTTCTTAAACCTGCTTATGATCGCTATTTGTTTGCTTGTTTTCTTACATAACGATGTAACATGTTTACTAAAGTTCAGATTGTCATCTATGTGAACACCAAGTAGCTTGCAAGTGATGTTCGGCTTTGTAACTGTCCCATTTACCGAGAAACTAATATCTTCTTCATTCGTTTGGTTACGTTGAGCCTTGGGTCGTCTAAATGATAGGGACTCGCATTTCTTGGCGTTGAGAATGAGACCGTTGTCACTACTCCAGCTTGATATAATGGCTAATTCTGAGTATGTTGTACAGTTAATGCTTTTCTATGACGTATGAATAATTCAAAATGCTATAATTTGTATACATAGCTTAACTACTCACTTCTACGCTATATCTCAGTAATCCCACGCTGGGCAAACAATCTATAAAGTTCATTTTCTAAAGCTTCATTTGTTCCTTTCAGTTCTTCAACAACTTTATGAGCCCACCGGAAGTATTCATCGACTCTCTCTTGTGTCCAGCCTTCTGGGGTAACACGATTAAGATCTCTCAAATTGAAAAGTTTATCTGCAAGCTTAACAAGTTTCGCTTTGTGACTAGAAAGAAAGTAATACGAAGTTAATTAATTGTGACTAAAGTTAGAGCTGTCCATTGTTCATGCTAATGTGTATCAGCTGTTGCCAGTTCTGGGATTGGGTACATGAGAGTTTGGAGCAAAGCCAAACACCGAGCACTGAACAATAAAACTTTTAAGATTCACTTAAAAATGTTGACGTTAGACGGGAAAGGGTATAGAAACACTATTACTATACCTTAAAATGAAAAGTGACCATTGTCTTAAATCTATAGTTGTTACACAAAGTTACAATAACTGCAGTAGATTTTAGTATTTTCATAGTTGCAATTGAAAAAGGATTAAAACAAATTGATTTTAACCAAATTTATTGTGACAATGAAAACAGCAAATCTTGCTAAAACAGAGCAGTCATCTTTTGAACTTCAAAAAAAAAAAAAAACAAACAAAAATTAAAGTCAAGTAAAAAAGTAAATTTATTGCTCAATATCTTTAATTGTATTCAACCATGAAAATACCTGTAATTGTTATCAGGATTTTCATCTGGTTGTGTATTCCTTTTTTCTATAATATTTTTACTCACAGGATGTCAATAAATACAAGAAGTCCCTTGCTAAATAAGAATTTTCTTTTTAAACTACCTTCTGTTGACAAAAGAATGTGAAAAGTGATCTGTCAATTACTACATGTACAAGCAAACTTAATCCTGTACTAACCTGGAAGTTTTTGCATGGACAATCTGCAGCCGTTTTCGTTCCAATTTGGGAAGTCTCTTGTCATCAGTTACTTCTGTAACAATATGTCGCACTTCTGGTCCAAACTTTGACTCCACTTCTTCAAATGTAGTGTTGGTATCTTCAACAGTATCATGAAGAATAGCTGCCTTCATCGACAAAACAAAACAAAACAAAATAAAAAATTATAAAAACTAAAGTAATACAAGGTAATGATTAACTGAATGAGTAACTTGGAGAAAATTCCTTCCACGTATCTGAGCTGCATCGGATTGGAGAGTGAAAGGAGTGACCTAGTGAGATGATGATGAGAATAACAAATAGTAAGGATGAGGAGGTCAGAAGAGGGAAGGCCATTCTCTCTTTTTCCGCCTTGCAAATTACTCTTTCTCTACCCTACTCTCTCCATGCTTTGTCAATCTTATCAATTCTGGGAAAATATGTGGGCCATTTAAACTACATCTCTTGCAAGGTCTTGCAAATAGTCATATATATAGACAGCACCTAAAAAGTACTTCACCAAACCACACAAGTAATTTACATTACTCAAAACAATAGAATTTGGAACTCCTAATACAGAAGAGGATCTTTATCTTAGAGATATTTCCTAGAGTTGGATACCATATCAAAGGGGGATGGCAGGGACCTAAGAAGGGAGGTTCATCAATGAAAATGAGCACGAAAAGGGGAGGGTCATACCTCTTTGTAAGCTATCCAGGGAAAGGGTCACACACCTTTCCCAGAATTTTTTAATGGGGATTTTTTGGATGTTCCTTTCCATTTTGCTTACAGATTGAGTTTAGCTTTTCATCTACTTAGATTTAATTTGGTGTTTTATTATAGGTTTTAGCTTACATTTCTATATGAGTATTATGCCACAGCACATATTTTTCTCAGAGGACTCGTGTCCTTTTCCATTATTATCGAGACTCGGGTATTGATTATTCAGCTTCTTCCTCGTGTTGACTATCCACTGCCTGATCTCCTGAGTCATTTAGTTCAGAAAAGTTACTACAGCTAGTCAGAGAAGTGCTTTGGTCAATTAGTGGAGTTAGCGCTATATAAATTATGTTAAATTAAATTAAAATTAGAAGGAAGTGCATGTATTTTCCCTTCAATATTTTATGTTCAAAACTTTTATAATACCCAAAGTTTATACTTCCATATTCAAACTTCAGCTTTAAAATAGAAATATTCCACACTGATTCTTTGCATTTTCTTGTTGCAGCTTGCACATATTCAATATCGAGATAGATTTATATTCAAACACTTTGCACTCATAAGCAAAATGTTCTGAGGTTTCTACTACATGGAACATACCCTGTTGTAGTGAGGGGAGGGTCGCAGGTCACACTTTGGTCAGTCACCTATAGATGGGGGGTCAGGAGATTTTTCATTCAAATGCAAGGGAGGGCCAACACTTCTTTAGGAAAAAATACCAAAATTCCCCAGCCCCCCTCCCCCCAAGAAGAAAGGTACCTTCCAAAAGTTAGATGATAAGGCTTCCAATTATTGATGCTAATCATTTGAAATAATTTTTGGAAAAAATACTCAACAAGATATGTCAGCCACCAAAATATTCCTAAGTTGCATGTATCAGACTGTTACACTGCACATAACATGAAGTTCATAATGTTGTTCACTTGAGTATTATTTTGAAAACAATTTTCCACAGTAAAACAAACTGAAAAAACTTGTTTCTACCTGATTATTTTGATCTAAAGATAAACCCTAACCCATCTTCAAATATAAAATAAGAAAAATTTTGAGGTTTATTCACAAAGATGGTAAGCTAAGAAATTGATGATCATGGTTTTATTTTCTGTATGCATTGGATGCAATAAAAAAACCACTGAGTCAATTGCTGTAGCAGCAAGATTGTTGTACTTTCATGCATAAGTTAATCACACTACATTTTTTTAACAAAAATAATTTGTGCAGATATACTTAATTTCTAGGGAGGGGTATGTGTAGCTACAACAAAAATAGGGTGGAATTCTGAGTTCAAATTCTTTCTAAAAAATTAAGTTGAGACTCATAAAGCAGACGCCAACCCAAGACAGCCTGGCATACCCAGGGGTATGGACCAAAGAAATATGATCTTTTGTTGCTGTCTGAATGAATATGGATTCCTGCGTGCACCTGCATCGTGTATCAAATGACCCAAGCTTGTGGTCCTTGCGCCTCTTCCCCTGGCCATTAGCACCCAAAAAGGGGTCGGCCTTTCGAGTAAAAAATGTAATAGCCATCACTCATCAGCAATGGAATAACACTCAAGTATAAAATAACGATAGCCATTTTCTGCGGTTTTTATCGCTAAGATTCACACAGAATTGGTCGGTAATGAAAACACGAAGCAATGGTACATTTAGATTTCGCAGTGGTGCTCCTTACCTGAAGGACATCTGTATCATAAACACCACCCTCTTTCCAGAGAATGTAAGCAACCCCGATGGGATGATTAATGTACGGAGTTTTCTCTGGGTCTTTTCGTCGTTGATCTCTATGTTTTGTGGCGGCAAAATGAATTGCTTCGAGCATTTGGCCAACCGGTTCCAAATTGCCACAACTGTCCGCCATGTTTTTATTACATTAGTCTCCAGACTTCCTCGGACTTAGTTAGCGTGGCACAAATCATGACAAACTGTACTGACAAACTGTATTGATGAACTTTTAGAAACAGACAGTTTTCTCTTTGGCTTATCCAGAACTCGATAATTTCTTTCTGTGTGTTAACTGTAATTGTGAGGAATTCATTTACTTGGCAGTGTCAAAATGAAAAGATGAGCTGTTCAGATTCAAATTCTTCAATATGCTCTCAGAAAAATAAGTCTAACAAAAAGCCAAGAGAAAACATAGTATACGGCAAAATAAATCAAATGTCCTCGAGTGATAGAGAAATGAAGCATTTAAAGCTTCTTATTTAGGATGATTATGTTCGTGAGACAATCTAACGAACGATATTGCATGTGTATACCCTGCGAGCAGAGTCTTTTCTTCTTTTTCGAGGTAGCATGTGTATTCAGTCTTCAGGTAATTAGGTTTTATCAACTGAGTTTCAAATTATTTATTTTTTGTGATTTGATTGAATAAAGCATCATTAAGAGTTCATAATGTAAATTGGCCACTTTGAAGGGTTTCAAAGCTGTCGTTCCGAGCGTTAGCCCTTTATCAGAAAATACTATTTGCTCTGACGAAGAGCTAACGCTCGAAACGACAGTTTGAAACTCTTTACGGTGGCCTATTTACGTTATCAACTCAGTTGATGGCTACCAAATTAACTTGCTCCTCCCACCGACGCAGCATCATAGTTTCTTTAGAAACTTACCCCCTTTATTCATTGTGTATTATTCATTTCGATCAATATTGCCAAGGCTTTTTTTCCATTTTTGCACGGATTTGTTTTTTAGCTTGGGCTCTCTTTTAAATTACAGAATCCCCATAACCGCAAACAGTATTTTCTGAAAAAAATAATTAAACTCCCGCTTAAGATTTAAAAAGGAATAGGTATGATATAAGTTCCTTTTCATGTTAGCTGTAGGAAAAACAACCCTAAACGGAATCTTACGAGATGGGTTTAATGCAAAAACGATAATAGCGCACTAATATATCAGCAAAAGATTCTTACCCCATTGAAGCCGATTCTCTCCTTCTCGAAATAAAATCCTCGCATAGATCATCAGATAAAAACAAGAGAACATCTTCTCTTCGAATTGCTGAAGAACAATTTACGTCGCCAGGGAAACCACCACATTAACGTTTTTCTGTCAGTTATGCATTATTGAGACCCAGGCCAGAGCAATAAGATCTCGTATGATCATTTCAGTTTCAGTTGGCTCGTGTGTACCTCTGTTCGTTTATTTTTTTTTGTTTGCCCGTCCGTTTGTTTGTCCTTTTTGTAGCTACTGCGCATACGCGAGTAGCTACAATGCTATCGTTTTGATGGGTAGAGTCGATTTTTTCTGTCTGTTCCTTAGTTCGTTTCTTGGTTTGTAAGTTTGTTCGTTCGTCTGCTTGTAAGTTTCTTCGTTTCTTCGCTCGCTCGCTCGCTCGTTCGCCCGTTCGCCCGTTCACGCGTTCGCTCGTTCACGCGTTCGCTCGTTCGCTCGTTCGCTCGTTCGCTCGTTCGCTCATTCCCTCGTTTGCTCGTTAGTTCGTTCGCTCGTTCGTTAATTCGTTCGCTCATTCGCTCGTTTGTTCGTTTGTTTGACTTTTTTTGTTTGTTTGTTTGTTCGTCTGTTCGTCTGTTCGTTCGTTCGTTCGCTCCTTCGTTTGTTCCTTTTAAGGTTAGATTTATTTTGAATACTTTCTATCTCTCGCTCGGTCGGTATTAAGCAACAAATAGCTGAAACCTTGACAATCAAGTACTTAATAGAACACAGGCAGCCCAAGCTCACTACCAGAAAAGCGGACGTGAATCTTACCGTGTTGCGCAACGTTTTATATTTATAAAGGTTTGTATGGGATGTTATCGGTTTGCCTTAAAAGAGAGAAAAAATGTCTTGTTTTGAAATAAAATGGGCTTACCTTATTGCCTTGTTGTTTTCTTTGTTGATTCCTAGCGTCTCAGGCCATTTTGAAGCGTTTTCGGCGAGTTAGCGCTATGTTGGTGTTCAACTGCTAAAAGAAAGACTTTCTTTTAGCAGTTGAACACCGAGAACATCCCATACAAACCTTTATGAATATAAAACGTTGCGCAACATGGTAAGAGTCACGTCCGCTTTTCTAGTAGTGAGCTTGGGCTGCCTGTGCACAGACAGGCATGGGTCAAAACATTTTTAAACAATTAACTAGATTTCGATGTGAAACCTTAATGTATTTTAATTACATGAAGAATAGCCCTTGACAAATAAAGGCTCCTTGTAACCTGAGTGGTGGATAGTAATCAAATACTTTTATGATAATAATGTGATTTCACGAAAAGAAAAAAAACCCACCGCTTTGACATCAGTGGGAGATTTCGAGGAGGGTACTGCTTTGTTTGGTAATTGTTGTAAATAATTTATGATACTTGTACTCTTTACCTGCAACTTTTACCACTTAATAAAAAAAAAAAGTAGGTTGTAATATTTCTATTCAGGCATCATACGGAATCTGCCCAGAAACAAGTAACAGGAACTTTAAAGAGCAAATAAGAGTGACAATAATTGGTTTTTCTTCGATTTATCGGATGTTTTGAGGAGTACATACATATGATCACGCTAAACTGAGTCTCTGGCAATACAGATTTGCTGATTCCATTATAATTTTTCACGCGTTTAACGTCTGGTCACATTAGCTGACTTTTCATCTAAAGAAAACCGTAAAATGTGAGGAACAAAATAAGCTAATTACTGAAATATCCATCAAATTAGCGAGAGTAGTTGTTTATCCTTATTTTGACATCTGTCGTGAATAATTTAAGTACACAAACGGTACAAAATAGTTGATATTGTTAAGCGTCGTGTATTCACTAGCCTATAATACCATTACTGTGTCCTCTTCAAACGTGAAATGTTTGCGTGATTGTAGCCAGCGCCTCACTTTCCGAGGGCAGAATGGATTCAGTGAGATTTTTTGCCGTTTTTATCGGATTTGCGTGGATGTCTTATGAAGGTGAGTTCCTATATTTCAAATCAATGATTGCTTCTAATGCAGCCTCAATTTTCATTTTCAATTAAACCTTGAACTCCGAATGCAACGATAATTTGTTTGCTGGTTGATATGTAAGATAATAATTTTCACGAAAGGAACTCCAAGTTTTAAAGTTACAAACGCACGCAATACACACAGTTACATGTCGTTGTTTCGCTTTTGTTTAATAATGTAAGAAGAGTGGAAGACATAACTTTTTTTTAACCTCGCCTAGATACACAGAATGTATACAAAATATTTCATTCAGAAATTTCTCAATTCTCTCCTCTAGAAAACCTTTTTTATAAATAAAAAAAAAATTAGATAAATGCATATGCATGTTAATATTCAGTTCGGGTCTTTAAGAGGTGTGTGTTGTTTTGTCGAGAACTCGAATGCAAAGTGACTATCTGGGAAGGAAACATCACGCACATCAAATCATTAACCATTGGGAATTTCCCAGTTTGTTATATGCCGGCGACGAGTTAGAGCATCAACGCTACGGGAAATAAGGAAATTGTGCTAAGAATTCCCCTGCACCAGTCAGAGTGTTCACCATGAAGCAGCTGTGTCAATCTTTCATCTTACAAAATAGTGATCAAAATAATGCTAATACACGATATTGTAAAACAACTCGACTCTGATTCAGCTGTTTTTTTTTTTTTTATTCAAAGTTTACTCAAAATACGGTTTACAGTTTTTTTTGTGGTGACTTCGAAAATTGATGTACACGATGGTCCTAGTGGATCATTTAACCGTGAGACCAGTCAAAAATTAAACTTTTTAGGCTTCTTGTATTCTAGACTAAATTCACTCCAATAAAAAGCTTTCAACTTCATTAAAATCGTGCTTCACCCTAGTTCCTATATTCAACATAACGTCATGTAGATATCTTTCCGATATATTAAGTAATTTAAGGCCTAGCAGTAACTCTTTTGTGAGAAAAAGTGTAGACCGCTTTAAAGAGAAAATTAGCATTAAATGGATCGTTGAACTCCATCATAACAGACGGCGCTAAGAGCAACTGGCCATTGTTCACACCTGCGGGCGGATTGAGTTTACGTTCCAAACTCAGTGAAAAGGAAATTCAGTTCAACTACAAAATGTTTCTCATCAAAACTTTTATTCCTCTAAAATAAATGTGATTTATCTTCAAAAGATAAAAAGAAATAAAAAGCAGTATACTGACCATTATTTCCCGAATTTATTTGTTTCCTAAGTGGGGAAGAGACTGTACAGCAAATTAAAAAAAAAAAAAAAGGTCAATGAGCGTATTTTAAACTTCCTAACTGCCGAGCTGAACTAAAGTAAAGTAACCGAGCAGTAATAGATTCAAACGTCGAATCAAGAACTTCAACTAATTTCATTATGAATAAAGGGAGTAAGTTAAAAAAAAAAACCGAGGTGCTGCATCGGTGAGGGTAACAAGGTAATTTTGGTTTAATCAACTGAGTGGATAATACAAATTGGCCACCGCCGAAAGGCGGAGTTTCAAAGCTGTCGTTTCCAGCATTAGCCCATTCGCTCTGACAAATTATACTAAAAAACCCACAAGGTGATATGGTTCGTTCTTCCTAAACTTTACAAAGTTTCATAAAACTAAACTGCACAAGAAGGCTATATATTAAATTTCAACTTAAGAAAAAGGTCAAAAAGCAGTAAAATTCTTGTAGAAACGTTCAGTAAAGTTCAAAAAGTCTAATCCGGCTGCTCCCAGCTCGTGTTCTCTTATTCAAGTACAACGACGACCGCAGGTGACTTGTGCTTCTAAAAAGGCATCATTGTTCTGGAGTACTTACTATAATTACAAAAGATTTTCAGCGATGGATCAACCAATTGTAGATTCTTCCCAATAGAAACTTTCTAATCGCGCGTCCTAATGGACGGTTCCAACCGCAAAACTTTGTTCTTTGAGTGATAATTTATCGTGACATTGATTATTATATTCAAGAGATTATCGAGTGTCCATAATCTCTTGGTATATTTCAGTTTTCAAGCTTTGAAGTCTTTGTAGGAGTTCAGCGCGGCTTTTTTCTCCTTGGTTCCCTTCGTCGGCTTGTGAGTAATCCTTTAAATCTGCAGCGAGTCGCTACAAATTTGAAACTTGGAAGAAAATCGGGGAAAATGTACACTGCTTGTATGATGATGCCCGTATGTTTCTTGAAGAACGCTTATTAAGAGAACAGCACGAAAGTCATGAAACTCACTCTTTTGTCTCGTTTCTTACATTTCTGACAGTAGAATCGATCGCTATTAAAAAAAAACCTCTCGTTCCTGTGTTACTCAACGACTCCTAAAGCCGGAAGGGATCCGGTTTATAATTGATACTAAAAACATAACGATATAATTACACTTACGTATCAGACATCTCGTCCCCATCTCTTCACTTAGTATGTCTTTAAAATCCTTTGCCAGCGTTGCGTTGCGGCAATACAGAATAGCAATCACTAGCCCATTTTTTGAATTCATACAAGAATTGCTGCCTTCGAATTTTCTCAATTGATTTTAAATTAACCACTAGTTAGCAAAATTAAAAGGTTGTGAGTTAATTCGGCTGTACAAATTTCAACTTTTTTCTAATAATTTACATTAGAGTTATAAGCTAGGTATACAAAATTATCTCGGCATTTAGAAAATGTATGGCTTCCCTGCGATCTAGCCTGACAAAAGACGCTTTTAAGTCTCTCTCATGAGAGAGATGATAACTTACATTAGATCATGTATGATAATTACTATCGTAATGTCGATGACTTAGTCAACGATTATTAACCCAGTTGCTCGCGGTTCGATAAATATCAATCACTCTCGCCGACCTGGAGGTTAATAATATTTCGAATATACAACGCAAGAACCACAAAGCAGCAAATTTCTGTCATTATACCGCAAAACGGTCTGAAATTTAATTCTCAACGCCTCGGCAGCTCGGAGGTGAATAGTACTTGCCAATCATTTGCAAGCTAACAAATCAGCGCGTGCATAAGATAAGGCACCATTCAGTTGTGTGCTATACAATTGTTTATACACATATAGCTTGCAAAAATCCTGATCAAAGGCAGTGAACAGGAAGGGTGTAGTATAAGTACATCATAATGGCCCAGCTCACTGCCGGTCTGTGTATCTTGGTGGCCATTTTAGAGCATCGGCTGAGCGGGAAATGCGAGGTCTCAGACTCTATTCTTATAGGGAATCAGATTTTTTTCTTTGTCTCACGGTCGTGATGAGAGGGAAAAAACGTTTTTTCTCCAAAACTTAGTTTGACAAACAAATTTTATATAAGATTAAAAATAACCACTTTCATAAAGCTAAGTAGGAAATATTATAATTGGCACCAAATGCAATTTTAACTGGCAACAACCAACTCATCTCTTTGTTAGTTTGTCCTAATGTATCCGTATCGTAACGGTAGCAACAGCACAAAAACTCCGTTGGACATCATTTGTGTTTTTACCAAACATGTTGCTATCATGTGTCACAAACATACACAAAGCCATGAGTGAATAACAAGCCAACCATTTCTACAATAAGTTTTACTTCTCAGTTTATTTATTCGTTTTTAAGTCTATATTTATTATTTTTTGTTTTGTTTGTTTCATTTTTTTATATATATATATTCAACCGTTCGCGGAAATCCTTTTCCAAAGGATTTGATCAAAATTATTTGAACGTTCACTTTACCGATTCATATTTCTGAATAGGAAACCATTAGAATTGCTGAAAATGCTCAATGATTCACTTTAGGCGTCAGTTCTTGCTCGCTATACTATATATAGTGATGTTATCTAAAATTTCATTGAGTGTAACTTCGTTTGTCTCGCTTAATTGAAATATTCAGTCAAACTAAAGGTAAAATTGAACGTTTCGTCGTAATTTTGCAAATGAAACCAGTAAAATGTTTTATCTTCCAGGGATTTTAAACCTCCTGGTTGGTTAGTTGATGTGTTAAATAAGATGTCCCATACATCTTGACAGATAAGAAACGTTCAGATACCTTGTATCAGTTGTAATTTTGTATTGATTAATAATTAACGAGAGTTGTCCATGTTACGTGTTCTGAGCGGCGGTATGAAACTAAAATTTTTGCCTTCAAATCTCGATCATTTAAAACTGATAATCCAATGGATAAAGTGATACTGAACCTAAACAGTGTGTGTGGTAGACAAAATACCAACGCTTTTACCGAGAATAGAACAGAGTACGTGCAAATATTTATCTATACTGAAGAGTAACTAAGGAAACGCATAACATTTTGACATAAGTTAAGCCGTTGTTGAAGCACGATTTGAGAGCTACAAGACAAACACGTACAGTTCAAACTAACCTGACAACAGCATGAAGCATGATTAATTGATGTTTCTTGTAAGTGACAACTTTTAAAGATAATCGTCATGGTTGGCTGAGATACTACGATTAGACTGACGACCAAAAGGGTTAATTGAAACATTGTCAGTAACACCTGCAGCTGAAGACAAACATGTAGTCGGTCACAAACCTAGACTCAAAACTGCTACAAATGACGTTTTTCACCTCAACATGAAGTTATGTCCTCTAGTTACGCTACTTATCTCATGGACGTTGGTTTTCTCCAGAGGTAGGAATATTTTGCAAAGAGATTTTGTTCATCCTACAGGTATTTCACTTTAAATATTTCTTTCAGGAGAGAAAGACTTGCTTCGGTCGCTTCGAACCGGACAGCTCATTCAGTTCTGCTGTTTTAGCCACAAAACAAACCAACAGCTAAATCTTTCTCAATAATGTCAGTGAAAATCACTCATCCAGTTTTCCGGGTAACGATTATATTTTTCAGCATCTGTCTGTCAGACTCGAGGAACATATGCGGTGATAATTCCTCAATCGAGCGTTTTAAAGCAAAAAAAGTCTTCCAGCGAAGCCAGATCGGCATAAATATTTATATACATTACACGTTGGGAAAATTACAACATGTCAGGCTTGCCATGTAGCAAGCCGCTAGTTAGCGAGTGTCATTGTGTCCTTTCCGTCGCTTTACTTAGGCTAACCATCTCTTCGCAGCAACCGCTAGCTTAATGGAATTGTTATCCTTACTCAGAAATATCAGTGTAGATTTATTTATTTATAGAGGCTGAACGTATCTTGTAGTGGGAACAGGCCAGAGGTATTCAGTGCGATTTGATTCCTGTTTTGTCTACAATCACCGAATGTCCCGAATATATTTTATTTTCACAAAGAAATGACCACCAGGATTAAAAGTGTTTTTGTCGTGTTATGCATGCAAATCAAACGTACCAAGACTCGCATTGCCTGAAGGGGAATAATTCACCTTCAGCAAGCGTGTGCTGATGCGCATGTGCTATCATCGAATATTTTAAACGAGTTTATGGTTACCTTGGTGGTTTGAAAACATAATTTTTCATGAAGTTGTTTTTAAAAAAATCCTGTCGAGAAAAAATGCAATTGATTAACTAAATATGATTAGAGTCATCTTTCGAGTTAGCCTTAGTCATATTCTGTTGGAACTTGTCCAGATTCCCTCACCTTTGTCCTAGTCTCGTAACCGGCCAAACAGCATCTTTATTCCTTCCATTACCGATATTTATTGTAGTGACCACTTCCCATTGTCGTTTTGTTACCTGTCAGTCATGTATTTTCCCGGTTAGTAATAAGAGAGAGAGAAAAAGCTTGGCGCTGTTATAAAACTAGGACTTCAACAAATAAACCGTTTCGTGAAATAACATTCTAGCGTGCAGTCATAGGGGTACGAGTGGGGGAGTAGGGGGGCTGCAGCCCCCCTAGCTGCGGAAACGCTCTTGATTCGGGCAATGACATTGGGGAGAAAACATTATAAAATAATGCCGTTGGCGTGATCTCCAAAAGTCGTGAATAAAGTTTCTAGTTAATTTCTTTTCAGGTGATTAGATGCCCGAAAGTGGTGTCTTCAGAGATTTCGAAATTTGAATAATATCGTGTAAAATGTAAAGTATATTGTTTCGGGAACATCTGCTGCAGTTCGTGCCTAATTTTCGCGCCAATTTCGCGGAGAGCGGGAAAACATTTTGACGAGTTCACATGAAGGTTTAGGTTTCCTCATTGAAGTTTGTTCGATTCGTTGTGAAGTCCGTGGACTTGAAAGGTTCAAGAAGACGTTAAAAACTTAAGTGACTAAAGGTCAAGCAGTCGTCAAGGTCAACAAGGCGAAAGGTAAATACTACACAAATTCCATTAAGTAATTCGTTTATTCTATTCGATCGATTCTATCCGTAAATCTCAGTATCAAAGTATCACATAATACTAGCTGATGTCACCCAGCTAGTAACTACCAGTTATTGACAGCTTTCAATGATAGCAGTTTCATTAGATGGGGAAATGGTGAACTTCCCCGTTTGCATCCCGATTTCAACTCTTACCCTTTCGGGCATTGCGTGTTTTTTTCGGGCAAGGAAGTCACCGCCCCCCCCAGTCCAAAGGTGCCCGTACGCCTATACGTGCAGTCAATACACTACACTGGCGACGAGTGATAAAAAGCAACACTGAGTCAACTAAGTCCACTCTGGCCGATAGGGACACAGAATCAAAACAACCCGAGTCAAGCCGACAGCTCACGCAGCCATGAGCAACCTACCACCGTTTCCCTCATTCGACCTTTCTCAAAACCAAGGAACACTTCTTGGTGGAAAAAGTACATCGCACGGTTCCGCAACCTTATTGTGGCGCTAGATGTGACCAACAAGAAGCGACAGCAGGTTCTTCTGTTACACTATGCAGGCGAAGAGGTCAACGATATTGTTGAAACGCTGCCCGACGCCGTTGCAGGAGCAGACGAAGACCCGCTCGAAAAAACAATCACGGCTCTCACAAACTACTTCACGCCGAAGACTAATGTGGCCTATGAAGAATACAAGTTCAGGCAGGCAAAACAAGACCCAGGAGAAGACCTCATGACCTATTACACCAGGTTGAAACACCTATCACAAACCTGCGAATTCACTGATGCCGACCGAGAAATCAAAAGCCAGATTATTCAACTGTGTTCGTCGTCCAAGTTGCGCCGTAAAGCTTTCAGTGATCCTGGAATTACCTTACATGCACTCCTCGATTACGACAAAACCCTGGAGCTTACCGAAACACAAGTCAAAGAATTCGAAAACTCAAAAGCAGAAGTGAACAAACTCGATAAAGACCGTGAAGTAACTCGACGAAAATCTTCAAATGGACCCCCCATGCGACAAGAAGGAACGCCCGGGACGCGGATTTTCCCGATCACACTGAGGAACAACAACATGCCGAAACTGCGGTGGCGCTTACCCACATGATGGAGGCATGCGATGTTGTCCGGCAGAAAGAGTGCCGAAGTTGCGGCAAGCTGGGACATTTCGAATCAGTCTGTCGCAGCAAACCAAAGGCAAGATCCCATAAGCGAGAGTCACGGAAAACAGTCAGCACACTCGACGAGTACTTGGATGAATCCAGTGACAGCGATGACGAAAACACCTTCCATTTAAGCATTCACAGTGTTCAATAAGCTTGACTTGAATCAAGGGTACAATCAACTAGAACTCGCCCCGGAATCTAGATTCATCACAACGTTTAGCACCCATCTCGGACTGAGGCGGTATACGCGCCTAAACTTCGGAATCGTCTGTGCAGCCGAAATATTCCAAAATGCCATCCGCGAAACCTTGAGCGACATACATGGAGCGCTCAACCTGAGTGATGATATCTTAGTGCACGGAGAGGTACAGGAAGACCACGACCGAGAAAACTTTCAGCGCCTCCGGGAGAAGGGCCTAACCCAAAACCGCGACAAATGCGAGTTTTCACAGCATAGCCTCGAGTTCTTTGGTTATGTGTTCTCTAGTAAAGGCATCTCTGCTGATCCGAGGAAGGTCCAGGCGATAACCAATCTCCCACCACCAACTAATGTCGCAGAAGTGTGCAGTCTCCTTGGTATGGCCAATTACTTTTCCAGATTCATTCCTGCTTACGCAACGCTAACTCAGCCCCTCCGTGAGCTAACCCAAAACAACATGCCTTGGGAGTGGAGCCAAAGGCAAGACCACGCCCTTCAGCAGCTCAAGACCGCCCTTATGCAAACACCTGTAACCGCTTACTTGGACCCCAGCAGGAACACCGAAGTCAGCGTCGATGCAAGCCTCGTTGGGCTTGGGGCAATCCTGGCTCAAACTGACCCCATCACTGGAGACAAGCACGTGGTTGCCTACGCAAGCAGATCCTTGACTCCCCATAGAACAACGCTGCAGTCAGTCTGAGCGTGAAGCTCTTGTTGTCGTATGTGGATGTGAATATTTTCACCTATACGTCTATGGCAAACCGGTAACTTTCATCACAGATAATAAGCCGTTACTTGCGATATACAACAATCCTCGATCAAAACCACCACCACGCATCGAGAGGTGGACACTGCGCTTACAGCCATACCAAGTGACAGTTGGGTACGAGCAAGGAGAAGGAAACCCGGCTGACCATATGTCCCGACACCCTGAGAAGTCAACGCTTTCCAGCACTCGACAGCAACGCGTGGCAGAAAAGTTCGTGGACTACATCACATACACTTAAGCCCAACGCACTCAAGCTAAAGGACATCACGCAGGCGACTATGAAAGATCCAACCCTTCTAGCCGTCATTGATGCTGTGCGTACCTGCCACTGGTTTAAGCCGTCTAAGCGACTCGGCATTAACCAAAACACGTACAAAGCAGAACGGGTAAAGGAAGAATTGACCATCTGCAGTTCTTCGAGTGTACTCTTGAGAGGAAGACGGATCATTGTCCCTGACGTCTTACAACAGACAGTAATTGATCTCGCACACGAAGGTCATCAGGACATCACGAAAACAAAGTCACTGCTTCGGGAGAAGGCCGGTGGTTCCCAGGTATCAACGACGCAGTAGAGAAGAAAGTGAAGTCCTGTCTTGCATGCCAAGTGACGACCCCAGAAACCAAATGCGAGCCCCTTAACTTGTCACCGCTGCCAGAGGGACCATGGCAACAGATTAGTGCAGATTTTAAGGAACTGTCTAGCGGAGGATACTTACTCGTCCTCTACGACGACTATTCCGGATACCCTATTGTAGAGGTCATACCGTCACGGTCTACACCAGTCGTCATACCACGCCTCCACAAGGTATTTGCAGAGTTTGGTGTACCGGCAAAAGTGCGCACTGATAATGGCCCATTTCGTTACTCTCTTCAACGACTCCTTGGTAATTAATCCAAAGTCTTGGGAATACTGTAATGCGGCAAGGCCGGTCTCATGCTTAAAATGTGAAGCTGCGTGTAGATTCTCCACAACTGTTGTTAGTAATGTGCTCAATTCAATATCTTGGAGATAATCGTTGTTAATTGAAGCTATGCTGTTGTGCAGGCGGTGCATTCCTTCTTCGAGAAGTTTAAGTGAGACTTGAGTTTTATGAGACACATAAGATTTTACTTTAGCCATTAGGAAATAGACTTTATATGCTTTTACTTCAGTTTTAAGTTTATTTACTTTAATTAACTTTAATTTTGAATTTCCTCTCACTTTGTTAAGCGCCTAGATCTATCATTGGATAGGCGCTATATAAATATCATTATTTTTGTTATTATTATTATTATTATTATTATTACTATTATTATTATTATTATTAACTTTTTCACAGTCACTCTAGCTATGTCATTATAATCTACATAAAGCATAATTTACATGAATTCAAGAATGAGAAAGTTCTGACGGCGCTTATAAGTCGACATCTAATGGGAGTTTTATGAAAAAGAGTAGGTTATTAACTGATATAAATCTACCAATACCAATAACCAAACCACTCCAATACATACTGTTTAATTCGCTTCCTGTTCCAGCCAGCATGGTCGGAAGCTCCAAATTCCATTGCTCGTCCATAGTTAGCGCAAAATTGTTTCGCTTTTGCCGCCTGAACTCGGAGCCATGTGATAAAGATTCACATCAAAATCTCCAAGGCCATATTTACTAGGCAAGTACTTTAGACCAAAAAACGAAGGAGAGTGCTTTTTCAGCGCCAGTGCGGTTTTAACATCTTTAATAGGAATGCGGCTTCTGTGACGCTGAAATGTTGCTTCCGACTCAATTCGGTAAAAGCTTGCAACAGCCCTTAAAATACCAGCATTCACGGCCTTTGTAGTGTCTAGGATGCCAACGAGCATGTAATAAGTGCGATGCAATGTGATGATGTGTGATGTAATACCCTCGAGACCTGCATATATACAGCATGTGTTTAATTATTTAGTTAGTTCTCTTAGGTATGTAAATAAAACCGATTTCATTTTAACCGCTGTGAAGTACATTGGCGACTAGGATGGGATCCAAAGGAACGAGGAATAGCACAGAAAACCAACAAGCTGTCTACCAACTTTAACCCTGATCTCTTTAAGGTTGTTCATAAGACGGGGTCAGAGGTAACGCTGAGGAACGAGACTGGCATTGAACTGAAAAAAACACTGTGTTTGTAAAGAAGTATAACGAGCACATCTACATCTACTTTATTACTCTTCAACGCTATTACACATCAAGATTTATCCAATGGCAACGAAGACCAAGTGGTACAGGCAGGTTCTGCAGTACGGGTGGATGACCCAGGGGCAAGCAAAATTTCAGAGACGACAGTCGTACCGATGCCAAAAGAGATTCCTGGAACGTCTGAAGATTCTCAAGGAAAACGTAGGCATTTCCCAGACAATGAAAATACCGGAGTGGGAAGGCCTGTTCGGAGGTCGAACCGGACTGTAAGACCGCCCGATCGTTATAAAGCCATATAAACTGAATATGAACTGAATATCTTCAACTTCTTGTCCTTTTATCGAGCGACTGGTTTAATTTAAAGGCTTCGATTTGTATGCTGAACATTTAGGAAAGAAGGGAATGTAGTGTATAGGATGCCAACAAGCATGTAATATGCGAGACGTGTGATGTAATACCCTCGAGACCTGCATATCTACAGCATGTGTTTAATTATTTAGTTAGTCCTCTTAGGTACGTGAATAAAACCGATTTCATTCTAACCGCTGTGTACTACAGCCATCGCGTAAGTTGACGATCGAGTTGGGTATCAAAGACCGTATAACTGATATGCGACACATGACCTTGATGTGGATGGCACATGCGGTAATTATTAACGAAATTGGACACTCTGGCATACTCCAACTGATATGTAATGGTAAAGGTACTTTCGTTGAACACAATAAATCAACTGTCGTTATTTTACATCAGTTTTTAGGATACTAAGTGGAGGCGCGGTGGCCTCATGGTTAGTGCGCTCGACTCCGGATCGAGTGGTCCGGGTTCGAGCCCCGGCCGGGACATTGTGTTGTGTTCTTAGGCAAGACATTTTACTCTCACAGTGCCTCTCTTCACCCAGGTGTATAAATGGGTACCGGCAATTTAATGCTGGGGGTAACCCTGCGATGGACTGGCATCCCATCCAGGGGGGAGTAGAAATACTCCTAGTCGCTTCATGCTACAGAAACCGGAGGTAAGCACCGGCCTAATGGGTCACTAGGCTCGTAAACATACTTTACCTTTTAGGATACTAAGGGCGATCCGGGCTTTTGTCAGTTGTCAGTAAAATCCCACCAAAAATGTCATTTGTCATTTAAAATTTTGGCCATTTGTCAGTTGTCAGTTACCCCATCCAGACCCTCAAAATACTTTCCAAAGAAAGCCAGATCGCAGGTTATGTCAAGGGCGCCAAAAATTCATCCCATGAGGTTGCTCTAAGGAGCCTTTGATTTATGACAGGAATGATTGTCGAATGAATTGCCTGTGGCTGAATAAAAATCTTTGGACAACTGTATAGTAGTTCTAATTTGCAAATAAATAATACATAGAGTTTCCATATAGGCTTCCGGTTAGCTCAATTGGTATAGCGCCGGACTGTTGTGCGGGAGGTCGAGAATTCAAATCCGGCCGGACCAACACTTGGGTCTTTAAATAACTGAGTAGAAAGTGCTGCCTCTGTAATAATATCTGAAAACGGTTAGACTTTCTAGTCTTCTCGGATAGGGATGATAAATGGAGGTCCCGTCTCGCAATCCCTTATTTGTGATTTAAATTTGTGGGACGTTAAAGAACCCACACACTCCTCGAAAAGAGTAGGGCGCGTAGTGCCTGGTGTTGTGGTCTATCTCAGGGTGAATTGGGGGGGGAGGAGTGGTGCCTCGCATGGACCTTGTGTTCTGTTCGCACTAACCCTTCCGGGTCTAGTCACATCCGGTAAAGTCGTTAGCTGTAAGTAATCAAGAAAATAGTTTTGTAAGCCGACACAAAGGGTAGATTTGTTTTTTTCCGTGTGACCTCAGGGCACTGGAAAACATCCAACAGAAAGCTAAGTAATTAAAAAATTTTACTTTTTCACTAATTTTTACACCAGGACTGTTGGAAAAGGAAAACCAGGTTAAATCTTAAAAAAAAAGGCATTTCATTAAAATGGCTTTCCATTAATGGCTTTCCATTAAAGAGTATGAAGACGATTTTCTGCTACTCGCCCAAAAAATGTGTCAGTCCGCATTTATCTGATTTCCTTTGAAGATATAGATTTCTCATCTACGCGTAGCATCAGCACTTGGGATAATAAATAAATAATCAGTTATCTTCAAGACAAACCGTGCTTTAAAAAGTCCTAAAGCGGCTCATGTAAGTGCCGAAACACTGTTTTTAATAATCCGCCTTCTTTCCGTATTTATTTTGCAGGCTCTGGGCTGAATTGTCACATTTGTGACCCTTCGAAGTCGTGGGATGAATGCAACAAGAAAAGCTCACAATACAAGTGTCCTGAGAATATGAAGGTTTGCTACAAAACGCACAGTGTGGAATTTGACAATGATGAAGAAGTTCATCTATATCGGAAAGGCTGTGGTACACAAATATTTTGTACAGGACAGGAATGCAAAGAAAAAGGGACATGGTGCGATGTACAGTGCTGCAATACTGACGCTTGCAATGAGTCTACAGTTTGGATTTGCAACTGTGGGACATGCATTATGCTTGCACTACTCTCTGCCGTCCTTCTTCTGTAATTTTTAACCTTTCCTTGGAAAACTGCACAGTTTTTACTAGTTCCAGAGAATGTGTGCACAACACATTGATCGCCACAGCTCTATGGGCTTATCATACTGTCTGGCTTGTATTGGATGAATGTGCTGTAAGGAACATGCGTATACATGGAGGCAGGCTTTCCTTACACATGGATCTCCGCACAGGCTACACGGGCGGTCTCCTGATTAATGAACCAAAACAATAACCACGACGGAATTATGAGATACCTCTTCAAAAGCTACACTTTATCACTCTGCACATGTGAAACATGAAATTGGAAATAATTTAATACGAGACATGTTCTACATTGTTCAAAAGAATATTCCTCTTCTGTCTTAAAAAAAATCTCGCTCAGAAGTACCGTTTCTTTCCTTATTTTTTTTCTTTAATTGAAATTGTCAATTGTTTTTTTACATTTACAAATATTTTTTTCTGAGAATTAAATGTCTGACAGATTGTATTTTATTTTTACAAATACTTGCTATCATAAACACAACCTTTTCAAACCAGATTCTCTTCTAACTTTTTTGCATCAAAATTGGGTGTTACGTCGCTGAAACCTGCCGGCATTTTTCCACACGCGTCAGAGAGCACATAGTCAGTGACAGGGCCTCTCACATTTTCAAGCATCCGAAAGATTCTCCACAGCAGGTAACTTCCATGTTTTAGATCGCGCCTCTATCGGCTTTCAACTTAAGATAAAAGAGGCTATTTATATTCAAATAGAACAACTATCCCTGAATCAACAATTACACCATGTAAATCCAAAACTATCCTCTTAATTCTCACACTTTCATGCTTTACTTATTTTCCTGTTATCAGTATTTACCATAATTAGCATTGTTCTACTTGCTATTTAATTCAACTTCTAACGCTTTGTACAGCAATTAACTGAAGTTTCTGTCGAAACATGAATTACAGACTCAAAAGTTTTGTCGCTTTCTTTAAATTCTTGACTCGCCTGCTAATACCAAGGCAGTTTAAGTTTTGCTCTAAAGGACTCAAAATACAGTAATTCATTTCAAAGCATTTGTTTCCATGCACTTATTTTGTGTTGTCTACAGTTCAGCAGTAGACACTCTCGTATTCTCGTATTCTATGGCGCTTACTGTACTTTTAATTCAGATCATTTGAAATTGCTGACCTATTTAGTCGTCTGACGGAAACGCCATTTGCATCGAAAATAGAAAACACAAAGTAAAGGAGTTGCTGGAGCACTGTCATAGCCCAAGGGCAGCTTTAGCAAACCATCACTGAAGCTGCCAAAATAAACAGTAAAACATGGGGAATGGAACGTTTGTCTGTAGGAGGCTTTGAGACAAAATACACAGGGCCATCGATGACGTTCGTAACCTTAAGTGGTTAACCGGACGCGCGCCCCACTCTCTCCACTCCTTCGCTAAACCTCTCCCACTGATGACCACCTGTCATGGCCCGACCTCGTTACCAAACCCTTCAGCCAGGGTCTCAACAAGAATTGTTATCCTTCACTAAAAGAAGTGAGGTGATCATTACGACTAAAATGACGTTCAACATAAAATCGAGGGATTGAAAATCATTTTTCTATCAGTACTTCGTCTTTATTCTCTTGTATACTTTTGTCATGGGAATACACTCGTAATGTTTTACAAATTTACGACGTCTTTTTCGCCAGTTCTTTGTTAAAAGTATAAAAAATATTTTGTAAGTCTGGAGAGGAATGTTAAATAATTTTGATCTCGTCCCTACTTCCCAGGCAATACTAGACATCAAAACAATCATTGAAAATTTACTTTATCCGGCCTTATTGACGATACCATTACATGTGGTAGCTCGCTCATGAGATTGCTGCCTATCTTTGAGTTAATACTACAACTGCTAATAGTAATAATCTACGTAATTTTCATACGGAGAGATGCAAGCTTTTGTCATGACATCCGATTTGTGCCATGACTTACTTTCGACCAAATAAATCACCACTTGACCAATCATTCACGTGTTCTTAATATGAAATCCTTAGAATCTGCTCTTTTTATGACGCTAATTTAAACCATGGGAAATAAATCGTTCATCTATCGGATCTAATTTGGAATAAGAATGACACAAACTTTGCAGCTAAACGAAATTTGACATGCAAGGTCTTGAAGTTTGGCACAAAATATAACAAACATCTACACTGCGGCACTCTTTTTTTTTTTTTTTTTTTCCTAATCAGCCTTTTACCCACAAGTCACTGAGTCCACAGCAGCCCATAATACACCTATCGCCGCAGCGTCACAGATCACCGAGGCCAATATGCTAAGTCTATTAACTTGTTTTGTTATTAAGTACAGCTTGAAGCATCGGTAATCTGAGCCAGTTTTGACCGCTTTCTGTCACATTCACATTTGTTTCGATTATACATAATTATCTTTAACTGCAACTAGAACATAAAATCCCCTGAATGCAGCCAGAAAGCATTTAAAAGGAACATTAAGCAGTTCTGGCCAAGCATATATAATGCAAGATATGTGTCATGTTGCTGAAGAAATACTAATTGCATATTTTGGTTGTAATGTTTAGCCTTAGTTTAGTTTAAGGACACTACATTTTCGTTAACCGTACACGATAGCTTAAGTTTTAATTTAGTCAGTTTAGAGTACGAGGTTCTTGTGAGGAGAGAAAATCCCACGTAATCGAAGAAGTCTTAATCACGTGTGAAAATCCCTTCTGGTGGAGCGCCGCCAAGGTGGACCGTGCTCTGGTTACCGGAGCCCAAGTCATCGCTCGTTCATAGCGTCTCCTTCCTCAGGAAGTTGGAAGCTGACTTGTCGGCGAAGACAGCTGTGAGCTGCAGCGCTTCCCTGAAAATAACAGCCATTCATTATTTAAATAGTGGCCTAACTGGGCTGTCTAAAACTGAACACAATCCTACAACCACACAAACTGTACACCAAGTATTAATATCATGGACCCACAAATAGTCTCCTTGAATTTCCAAACCCCACTTAAGCTTACAGAGAACTGTTTGTGGGGAAGTAATTTCTAGTGTTCCAAGACTATGTTTGGCAGTGAATTCGATAAATCATTGTTTTTCCTTAATAGAGCACAAAGTTAGTATTTCAAAATAAAAGGAAAAGGTTCAACTAAACGGAATAGCAAGCCGCTGAGCAAAACAAAATAAAATAAACAAAACATAGCTTCAGTAAGAAACAAACAAAAGCATCAGTAGACAAGCAGGCAACACAACAAAAAATGGGTTCAGAACGAAACAAACCTTTGGCGGTTAAGTAATTAGTGCTTCATCGCTTTCTAAACAAAGTATACGTAAAACTGGTTAAAACAGGCACAAAGAAATAAAAAAAAAATAAATAAACATTCTGAGTACAACCAACCGTCACGTTACTTTATTGGCCCGTACTTCAAGGAATTGTCCACAGGACATTTGTCAAAGGTTGAGTCAATTAAAAATAATTATATTCAAATTGCTTTCATTCCATAGCCCATATCCATAACCCATAAGTCCAGCTATCATTTACACGAGGTCTAACCCAAACCGCGGTTCTACACAAGCAGTGGGCCTTAGCTAATTTCTATACGAGTTGATTTAGTCAAATTAATAGTTATTTCCACTGTTGGCTTTTGGCCCTCTTAACACTGTTCACAAAAATAAATGTTCAAATAAAAGGTCACGTTCGGCAAAACTGAAGATAGTTTAGAACGCGGTTTTGTTAAACAACGGCTAAACCTTGTTTGAATAACCGGCCAATAAAGTTTAGAGATTATTGATTGTGATTTTCAGAATCCTTTCCTCTATTCCTACTCCCTCCTGTAAATTTGCGCAAATTAAAAGTTGCTGAAGCTAAAAGGCAGCGTGTAATTAAAAATACAAATTTCCTAGAGAAGAAAACCCAATTATTTTCAATGAGAACATTCCCTCGATCCCCCTCTAAAACAAAACAAAACAAAACAAAAATTAAAACCTCCAAACTAGGCGGATTAGGCGACCCACATGAGAGAATAGAATATCTAATTTGTATCCAGCAGACTTGCAGATAAACCGAAAGGGTTGTTCTCCTACGAGTTATGGACCAATATCTGTGAGCTTATATTGACAAGTTAAGTGTTATAAAAGATTTAGTGAGCGTTCGACATTTTCAATTTCAAACTAAACATTTAAAGGTTACTAGAGAGCAAATAAAACAGTTATATTTCAGGTGGGAGGTTGTTAATGGGACGATCTATACGAGTTAAGAATTATGTTCATTCAGTGAGAAATTTCAAGTTCACAGAACATGACTACTGTTAACAAGACGTTTTAGCTACGAAAATATTTAAACGGGACTTATACATCTCTTTACAGAAAACTTATGGCTTGCTGGATTATCTAGATACCAACGGACCAGCCAGCTTACAACAGACACCAATCTGTTCCATTCAAATGATCTAGCTCTCAGATAACGTCTTGGTATTTAAAAAAGAATTATGTTTTTTTTGTTCATGTTTGCGGCAGATTCAACAATTTAAAAGTATTAGATCCGCTCTAGCATCATTTATTGGCAAAAATTTAAGCTCTTGAGTGATCTTAAGGTTAACCTTTCAAATCTAGCTTTCATGCTATTTTGAAGACAATTTGTACGGCGTAGACAATTTAAAATATGTTCATCTTATTTTCAAATTCTTTCTCTGAATGATGTTATCACTTGAACGAGTTACTCGAGGAACTCTGTTAATCGTACGCTTTTAAAATAACAATATTACCAAGGTTTTTTTCCTTGCGTGTTTGTTCTTTTTAACAGTTTTATCTCTATATTTCCTATCGCCAATATTTCTTTAAGCAAACTCTTGCTTCTCTCCCTTTTTCCTAGTAATCTCTTCATCAATCATACGTAACGTCTAGATGTCTATTGGAAGTCTATAGCTGCTACACCCATGACGGAGAACGAACGATGACCCACAGCACGCCACACGCCACACAATCACTTAACTAACTTTGACATCATCTCCAACAAAACCTCGATGTCAACAACAATTCTTAAACCTTCCCAACTCTAAACTTCTTTCGATGTTCTTCTTTCCTATAACAACAGTCCCTGCATAGTATCTGTTTATTTTTTTCTTGTTACATTACATATTGTCATATCATTTAGCTCTAACTTTCTGCTAAAATACATCCCGCGGATTTGGCGTTCCAAAAATACATCGTAATAATATATGCAAATTCATACAACGTTTAAGCACAATTCATCAAATTCATTGGTGGAAAAGTCAAGTAAGAAAGTTTTTTCCCAGACCAGGAAATCTATTATATTTCATTTATCTTTATGAATAAATTGCCTAGCTTTCATTTATTGTGTCGTCCACATTGTTTATGGTGTGTAAAATTTTTGAATTATCCTCGACTCGAGTTTCTTCCACTTTGGTATCACTTGCTGTTTCATGTTTTTCACTAGGTGCCGTCGATGCTGGCTGTTCAGCGGTATCACTGGTGTGTGGACCGTGTCGGTTACTTACAGTCTCTTGATTGGCTGTGGGGGCCTTAGCCGGGTGAGTCGGTCCCTCTGCTTCTAGTAAGGCATCTTTAGGATCTGACAAATATTGCCAATTCAATTCAAGAACTCATTATGTAATTTTTGTTGTTAAAAGGAAGATATGTCAGTATTACAGGTAACAATATTCCCTTTCGGTTCAATAAAAAAAAACGTTACTTAGCCTACACTATACAGCGAGCTTATTCTGCCCACTCCCCCCCCCCCCCATACGCACGCAACCACGCACGCACGCACACATACATATAGTCGCCCACCCAACAGAAATAAATTGTAAGCATCAACGGTTATAAGTTCATGTTTTGCTCGTGTGTCCTCGTCTCCGGTATATTTGGCGAAATACAAAAACCTATCCCGAATATTCGTTTTTTTTTCCTTGGTTTTCTGAGTAAGAGAGTACAATTACCGCGAAAACAGTTATGTATGAGGCATTACCTCTTGAATCACTATCTAAATTTTAACTTCGCTCTCCAGATTAATAATCATGGCCTACGCAATGATATCTTATCTCTGAAAAAATGAAACTTGATTGTTTTCGAAACTTACCAACAACGACTACTCTTTTATCTGTAGCACTTTCGCCGGCCGTTTGACCGCCATTTCCGCTGCTAAGCGTTTTTTTCAGACTTGTTTTCTCAACAGGTTTATCTGCTTCTGTAAATGATCTTGATCTTCCTTTATCAGATGTGTTACTATCACTTGTGAACGTTCTTTCTCGGTTGGTTCGATCGTTCTCTGACACGGAACGAACACGATGGACGGAACCTCCCGCGGTACGCTTCCTTGGAGACGCTTTGGCTGAAAGTGAACAAAATACTTTAACGTTTAAACACAGGGAATATCAACAGAAGAACAACTTAAGATGTTGTGAGATCGTCTGAGTAAGCCAGAGTATACAAGCTTTCCAGAATCACTGCCGATTACTAAACCTGCTGGCTGTGTAAGGGTGCAATCTCTGAAAAAAGCACACGTCCTACTACATATAGATGTACATTGTACCTGCTGACTTCTTGAACACGTTATTGGACATAAATTCTTGAAATCTTGTGCAGTAAAATGACGGTCTGTGGACTGACACTGTGTCCTGCAACGACAAAAATAAGCACAGCTAGTATTCAGTACATTTATAATTACTATAATTTAATAACATGTACAATTGATTAGTTCTGTACGTATGATGTACGATCCTCGTAGTAGATAGCGCTATTTATGCAATAGCGAAAATTAGACCTGAAAAAAATCAGGCCTGTACGGAACTCGAACCACTGACCTCTGCGATACTAGTGCAGCGCTCTACCAATTGAGCTAACCCAACTGAGAGCAGGCCGTTAAGTTGATTCGTAATAAACCCGTGAAAGTGATTAATGAGATGCAATGAATATATGAAGTTCATATATTTATATGAATATATATGAATATATATATATAAATGTAAAAATGTAAAAAACCTTATCTTTGAATCGCAGAGTGCTCTACAATCATATGGAGCTTTGTAAACGATTTGTAAACGAATATATATAAATATATGAACTTCATATATTCATTGTATCTCATTTATCACTTTCACGGGTTTATTACGAATCAACTTAACGGCCTGCTCCCAGTTGGCTCGTTAGCTCAATTGGTAGAGCGCTGCATTAGTATCGCAGAGGTCAGTGGTTCGAGTCCCGTACAGGCCTGATTTTTTTCAGGTCTGATTTTCGCTATTGCATAAATAGCTCTATCTACTGCGAGGATCGTGCATCACACGTATCTAATACTGCAAAATATATGAACTTCATATATTCATTGTATCTGATTAGTTCTGTTTGATAAAATAAGCACAGCCAGTATTCAGTACATTTATAAGTACTATAATTTAATAACATGTACAATTCATTAGTTCTGTTTGATAAAATAAGCACAGCTAGTATTCAGTACATTTATAATTACTATAATTTAATAACATGTACAATTGATTAGTTCTGTTTGATAAAATCCAAGACAACTTACCCCATCGTGAAGGAGAGCCTTCCAGCCGTGTTCTAGTTTCTTGACTATTCTGTTTGCAAAGAAGAGTAGAAATTTCATTTTGTAATGAAAAAATATAAAAGCATCACATAAAATGTAAAAAGTCAGTTATTTTTGTAACTTACCTGTAACTTTGTAGAATATCTATGATTCCAAGAAATAGGACCAAACGTTCTCCTTTGGCGTTACGCGCTGGAATACCACCAACCCTGAAACACAAACAAAAGAGGATTGTTTTAGCAACTAGTTACCTTCATCACTCAAGTCCCATTCGCAATAGTACAGCAGTTGGAATAATCTGTATCCAGTATAAAGAGAGAGGACGATTCTAAGTACTTACGGTCTCTCTTCTGTTTCATCTCCTACAGTGATTGCTTCCCAAGCTGAACTGAAGCCTTCTCTTCCTTTTAAACTTCGAGTACGTGACAGAGATGTACTGCTGCTCTCTGAAAAAGAAGAGCAAGCTTCATATTAATCGCTCGTTCTTTCCAGAAACAAATATTTACAGTGCTGTTCTACGAGTACTGTAAGTGAATTAAGATGGTTGTATAGTGTACATCTAAGTGACAATGTGTTGTTACAGGTATATTTAGATAATGTCTATCGTTATCGACAATTCCAAATTTGTCTTAATAATAATAATAATAATGATTAGCTAATTTAGTGTGCAATCTGGAGAAGGACTGATGAAGTTCAAAACACACCATGTAACGATAGTACATGTGGAGTAATATTTACCAGGACTGCGTGCTCTTGTTTCCCACTGTCCATTGCCAGATGACATAAGGTTTGTACCCTCAGTGGGGGAGGATAGATGACCTGACGGAGTCTCTACTCTTGTTGATGGTTTATCAGTCGCAGGTTCACTGTTTGATCTTTTATATCTCGCTACACCACTCGTACTAGTCTCCTCTACTTTATGAATAGCAAGAAGGAGACTATAATCCATGATTTTGAAGCTTTGTAATACCTGCATAAAACAATAAATATCACCTGATTGGTCAGCAGTAAAAGCATGAACACTTGCACCCCACTGGCTGTTTAGGTTACCGTGCACGTTCAGGGGTGTCTCGCGTGCAAGCGATGTAGCGCGTCCGGTTTAAACTGTAGATATCTAAACCCCTATATCAAATTAAAGCTTATAGGCCTGGCTATCAGACTAAACCAAAAATTTTGAAAAAAAATTAATTGTCGAATTTTTCACGACTTCTAAATGCGAGCGCCCGAATCACTTTTTGAACGTTACATGTTAAAGCGAATTTTTTTTTTTCGGTTATTTGATGTGTTCCTCCGTTTCCGGGGCCCAAAGCGCTAAAAAAACGCGTCTGCGATTTGCCATATTCAACTTCAGTGAAAAGTTACAGAACATTTTTGAAATAGGATTAAAAAAATGTGGACTGAGTGATCGTACAAAAATCGCTCTTGAAAAAAAGTATTTAGGAATAAAAAATTTGGAGACACCTTTTGTTGTTTATATGTAAAACAAGGTACTGTCAACATTTGAGAGCAATCGAACAAATTCCCTTTGACTTGTAGCTCTTAAAAGGCGATTCGAGCGCTTGCATTTAGAGGTCGTGAAAAATTCGACAATTCATTTTTTTCAAAAATTTTGGTATAGTCTGATAGCTAGGCCTATAAGCTTTAATTTGATAGAGGGGTTTAGATATCTACAGTTTAAACCGGACGCGCTACATCGCTTGCACGCGAGACACCCCTGAAGGTGCACGGTAACCTTGAACAGTAAAAATGTTATTATATGTGACAGACCATAAAAGAACCAGTAAGGAGACACGCACAAGTACATTAGAAAACTTAATGGCAGTATCTATATGCAACTACTACATCACATTTGTGAGAAAAATGACAAGCTGAATCTATGATTATGATGTAATACAAAGGGAAAATGTAGCAAATCAACTAGAGGTATTTAGTAATAGCTTACTCTACAATCTCGCTGGATTGTCCTCATCACAGCATTGTAAGTTTCTGGTTCAAGAAAAAGGCCCTACCAAAAGAGAAATGACTTAAAGGGTGGTCAAATATCAATCTTCATCACTTATAATTAAAAATTTCATACATTTATCAAATAAAGGTAGTAATGATTATGATGAAATAATAATAATAATAACAACATAATAATAGCATTAATAATAAGGATAGCTATAACAGCAATAATGATAATTTAACAATAATAATAATAATAACAATAATAATAATGTTCATAAGAATATATGCAGTGGACTAAATGTAAGTTGTGTTAATAAGTGCATTTACCTCTGGGTGATCATTCAAAAAATCCAAGTCCTTAAGAGTAGGTGTTTCTTTGGCTCTTTCTGCCTTTGATGCTTTTCTTTTGTATGTTGAGCCCTGTTAAAACAATGTTTAAATGAATTAGTTGAAATGATGGATGGCATATCCTGAAAATTGTATCTACGCCATTATGGAATGCAAAGGCTTTGTGTTAACAAGTACAAGTAAATGTCTATGGCAAAGAAATGTTTGTCACTAATTTTGTAAATAAAGTGTAATTGGCAGTAACATTAGTTACAACCCAGTGTTATCCCAGAGTGAATTAACCTATCCAGACAATATTTACCTTAAGATCATACTTAAAATGTATTTTGTATCCTCGTGGTAGGAGGTTGTTCATTATTACTAATCTAATATTCTTTCCTCCACACTGCAATAAAAACAACAAGATAGAGTCAGTAACAAATTCAAATTAAATCATTTGTAAAAATCAAACAAATGTTTTTAAGAAAGGTTCCATAGTACCTGATAGCAGTATAAGCCAAAAAACTTTGGCAACAATGTTCTTTTGTTCTGATTTAAGTTCTAAGAGGAAGAAGATAAATAATAAGTCAATCAAGGCATTTTCACCTACAACGTATTAGGATGCATACAATATAAAACTACCTAGTTTATAATAGTCTAAATTTTTTTAAGCTGTGGTTGACAGTTTAAATACAATGAAACTATCAACCATCTTTGTTAAAAACAATGATTTTATTATGAGATGTTAATAGTGACACCATGCATGAACAAAATGTCATTATAATATTTAAGTGTGGAAAAGTTTTAAAAATTGTGATCCTTGTTGTTATGAAATCCATGCATTCACCATAAACACTGGCACATAAGTCACACCATTTTCCCCAAATTTTCATATAAAATCGGGGTGCAATTCATCTGTGAGAACATCTGGGAAACATGCATAAATTAACACTATTCATTGAAAATTTATGAGTGTGTATTTATGCCAGATTACTAAACAATGAGCAACCCGTTTACTTCCTGAAAAACTCTATTGAAAATATGACAGGAATAAAATAAATACTGGTTTAATAACTGGGTATGACCAAATGTAAGTCAAGTCCTAGGATATGATGTCCACATTACAGCTGCTAAAAGTATTATATTATTTTATAACTTTCAGGATTGTCTTATTACTTAATTCAGTTCTGCAGTTTAAAATTGATATATTTTATGCACAAATATTATTCCATCTAAGTATGTTTGCAAGCGTTATGCTCTAGTTTCATACATACTGCAAGGACCACTTACTAAATAATATCCAGGCAATAATTTCTGAAGAAATTCTGCCTCCTTGTGTTGAACAGTTTTCACAATAAATTCATCATCATTTGTCACATAAAAAAGGGAACCACTGGCTCCTGAATTAGCAAGCTCCACCAATGGTTCATGACACAGTGCCATCTACACAGAGAGAGAGAGTGAGAGATTAGGATTTAAGTGACAACAGTTTTATTTCATCTATGATATAACAATTGTTGATTTGGCCCAAACCATCATGAGAAACAACTGATGTTTTACAAAAAAACAAATAGATATTCAAAAAGACACAAAACACATTACAAGGAATGAAAATAACAAATGAAAACACAATAGCGCTTTGCACTATTACTAAAAATAGACTTCGCCACATGAGATCCCCACACAGACTCAGACAATCATTTGCAAGGAAATGTGCGAGCGTAGAGTGGGGTACTGGAGGAAAAAAGTGAGAAACTTTATGAAATCGGGAAGTTAGCTTCCAGAAAGACAAGGAATGGTTGGTACCAAACACAGTTGCTGGGGTAAGTGTAACACTGACTCGAGATATCCATACAATACACCTTCTTCTACGTCTGACAAGTTTTATGTTAAATATTCTAGACTTGAAAAACAAAACAATTCTTTTTCTTGGCTCGGAGTTAAACTGTGGGATGGGATACCAAGCTACATAGCCAATCTCCCAAAGAAAGCTTTCAAAAAAGATCTCCCCAAATTTTTACTTGATATATTAGTAAAGGAGGATGAGTATATTGAAATCTCCATGATTATTAAAAAAGTAGGATCATAGAAACGCATGCTGAGGGTCCCATTTTACTTCCGTTTTCCTTTAACAACTCCTTGTCTTTATACATTGTTTGTCCGTAAGTCCTGTGTTAATTTGATCTCCCAACTTCTGTGTTTTATTTATCTCTAGTTGCAATCTGCAAGGTTTTTCTCTATTAACATAGGTTTGCCTTATTTATTATTATTCTTCTATAACTTGTTATTTTAATCACGTTCTTGCTTTGCCCCGCTGCGACTAGCTTCTTAGCTATTTGCAGGGCAAACCATTTTAATCATGTATTTTTGTAATAAGAATTTTCAATTATGTAAGTCTGTAATCAGAATAAGAATAAAGTTTTGTTGTTGTTGTTGTATATCCCAACAGATGGCTGAGATCTCTCAAAGAGTTGACTGAAGCAGACAAGGATTTCAAAAAGAGATAAAGCAAATCTGTAACAACGCGGAGCAAGAAACAGTAAAGGCGATAATGTGCTTCCATGAACGTGAACCAGTCATTTTAAGACCGAAATAAAGAAAAGAAAACAAGTCGAAATGGCTGGAACACTGAACACTAGGAACTGTAAGACAATTGAATCAGCGCGTGTGGCACAAGCTGAAAGCAATCAAGACAATGTAATGATCGAGACAGTCAAAAAAAAAGCAGCGAATCTCCAGGAACAAATCGCTCATTTCAGCAGTATGATGAAAAGATTACGAAAAATGAAGAATAAAGAATTTGAAAAGTACACACGTGTATTCTCTGACTCCCAATACAAACATGGGGCCAAAAAACCAATTTCAAAAGCCAAGTGGCTAGCAACTAACAAGCGCAGGGGGCGCAGAAAAGTCAGACGCCAAACAAGTTCAACTTTCAAAATAGAGGTGAACAAAATGCACATCAAAAACCTCTCAAATAAAATAATAACTTACAAATGACCAGATTAATTTATTGGCAAAAGGGCTTAAATTCATTCCAATGCCCATTGCAAAACAAAAACAGATCAGACAACAACTATTGTGTGACTTTGATCAGTTTGCAAGGAGAATGCATCTGATTTAAATATTCCAAGGGGAGGACAAAAAAACCATCCCTGCCACACCAAATTACATGGATACCACCAATACAAAACTCAGTAGCACTTGAAAGCTATTTAGAAGAGGTTAAATGTGACCTTTCAGAAATAGTGACCTTTCAGAAATAGAAATAACAAAGCCAAAAGATAATTTGCCTCCCGTCGAACGCAAGGCGCTCAGGGCCTTGAAACGCGACTCTGAGTTAAACCTCAAAAAGGCTGACAAAGGAACAACAACCGTAGTCATGAACAAACGCAATAAAATTTTAGAAGGCCAAACTCTACTAGATAACAAAGATAACTACAGGCCTCTTGCATCACCCTCATCCATTAAAACAGTAAAAGATTGCTATGCACTACTTTCCATCTGCATACATTTCCTTTACTTCTCTTACAGATTTAGAGTTTGTTTGTCTGAGTCTCGACGAGGGTCTGAAATTTCGTGACGTCATTAGTGCAAAGCACTATTTTGACAGTGCTTTGGGCTGCAATACTTCTGGTTGCCAAGGTAAGTCAAGTTGACAAAAACTTTTTTTTGCAATACATTCAAAAAAAGGCAGAGCCAAAAGAGGTGTTGATGTTAGTTTTCTCAAAATTTTGCCAGACCTGATTGTTTTTTAATACTGTAACGTCTGTGTGTAAACAACAAAAACAAGGTTTGTTTATAAATACAAAGCTGATTCATAAGTGAGGAGAATTTGCTACCTTTCTATAATCAAGAAATGGATAGATATTCTAGTCTTCTCGGATAAGGACGAATAAACTGTAGGTCCCGTCTCCTGCAGGGTTAGGGGTAGGAGATGTTAATTTCCCACGCACAAGATTACTGTGTGGTGGATGTCCTCCCCTGGGTGGGATGGGTGGGTGTTGGCCCTGAAAAGCCCCTATGGGGAGTGGTCAATTAACCTATGTATGTATGTATGTATGTATGTATGTATGTATGTATGTATGTATGTATGTATGTATGTATGTATGTATGTATGTATGTATGTATGTATGTATGTATGTATGTNGCCATGTGTTTTGTACGTAGTTTTAACTCGCTAATCGGTAGAAAAAGTTCCCTGACGACCTTTCAAATCCAGACAGATCATAGCGATAAAATCCTCACGAAGGACATGAGCCATTACACTGAATAGATGGTCTTACAACTCTTGTAGATGTCATCTTACCTCGTTCCTTGAGCGAAATTCAAAATTGGAATCGCTGATTAACTCATATATGGCAATGAAATATCCTGAAGTTGTTCCTATCAACATCTGAAGTAATATTTGATTCAAAATTTTTCTCATGTTCCACTCAGTCTCCTTCAGAGGGAAGAATAAGCATAGTCGTACAACGATCACAACTCTACCACTTTCCCAACACGACTGATACATTTCCTTAATTCGCGAATCGCTCTCTCCGACTCAAGCGTTGATTCGCTGAAATTTGCAGACCTGTCAAACTACAAATTAGCAAGAACGCTCTGATTGGTGCGACATCAAAAAATACTACAATCTGATTGGTTTGAGATACACCAAAAAATTGGGCAAATCACATTGCATTGAGATACACCAAAAAAAAAGATGCGCCAATCAGATTGCTTAGAGATACACCAAATTGCGCTGATCAGATTACACTACACCACAATACACCAATCTATACGCTAACATATAGTTATTTTTTTTAAAAAAATAACTCAAAAATATTTCACGAAAGAGTGAAGCAAACCAGTGAAATATTTTTTTATACTTGAGGACAAATCTCTTATCTCCACCTGGCCATGTAATATCCTCCATCAATGCAGAAGCTCAACATGAATTATTCTTGGAATTAACAGTCATATACAAGATAATTTCCTAATACACATGCTTCTATTAAATTAAAAATAAAAATTACCTGTCGGAGAAAAAAAATTGGTCTTACCATAAATTCCGCAGGGTTCATCACAAACAAATCCCGAAAATATCTATTGAAAAAGATAAAAGAATGTATTATTTTAGCTATCTGGACAAATACATTTTTTTAATCTAGTCTCAGTAATAAGACATCTCAAAATGTCATCACCAAAATGGTTTTAATTGACTTCACTAACACTGTATATCAGTAACATCTCAAAACAGTAACCTGAGAACATTTACACCGAATAAGTGCAAAGAGCATTTAAGACTAACATACCTAAAAGCAACTGGGGAATATGATTTGAATTTGAAATCACTAAACCGATGGGATGGGGTCTCTCTTGACCCTTCACTGTAAAAGAAAACAAATATTTATTACTTTACAGAGTACATGTCCTGTATCATTTACTGCAGGTAAGTAGACCTAATAAACTGACATGTTACTTGACATGAGGCCAATTTCAAGCCTTACTTAAACTTACCACTAGTACAACGCTCTGGTTAACTCTTCTGTAATTGATTGCAGCTCATTCTAAAGAGCTTTTTACCCACTCCTCACCCCTTTCTTCAAACAAAACACCATGGACATCTACTCAAAGATCGCTATGTGCTACCCAAAATCCCTTAAAAAAATTCCAATGCATTTATCTGGTTTAAGTATTGGTTTTCTGTTTCTCTCAAACAGTAGATCCTACCTTGGAAATATAACAGTTTCTACTTCTGCAAAATCTTGCATTAACACATCACGCTCTGGTTTAGCTGATAACCTTCCAACCTAAAAGACAATATACACTGCTAAGAATCTTATTATGTAACAGGACAACATTGGCAGCTGTTATACACAAGTAAATTTGTCATGGAACTCACAGTAAATCCAATCCCAAGTTGAATGGCTGACATAAGTGCTGACGAGGGAGTCTAACGTGTAGATCAAAAACATCAGTTAGTAAATTTTAAAATAAGATAACCTTCATTGCCTTTAAAAATAATTATCCTTTTTAAGTGATCATCAAAGAATTCATAACAAAATTTTTTTTTGAAGAGGTACATGAAGTATACCACTTTTCTGCACTTACCAGTGAAGCCCCCAATACAAAGTTTTTTTTTTTTCATGTCTTGATTGAAATCTTTCAGACCTAAAACTTCATTGTTTTTCTCAATTACCTTTTTGTACGTGGTTTCTCCTGTCTCATCCACCCTACGATGTCCAATCTTGGAACGTGGTGTGGGGGGATTCTTTTCTTTGTCAGTTGATGTGAACGACTGTGTTCGAGACATCTGAAAATAGCAAAGCAAATATACAAAAATGTATTCTTCAGCTCAATCTTTAAAAAATATACAATAAAGAAATGTTCAAATTATATTTTTTACTACTCATTTGGTGTAAATTCAAGGTAAAAACCTCTTAAATGGCCATGTCAGTTTGTTAGTGATGTGCCTTAAATAAGATATCCATTTAGCAAGCTTATGCACATATTAAGATGTTATCTACAGTTTGCAATCTCACTTGCACTGAGCCAAGAGCCAGTATGATACTTCATGTATATTGTAGTCATTGTTAACTTGATACATGAGGGACTAGCGAGCTTAGTAGTGTTCTTTATATCAATTACATCAATAACAGTTATAATGATAATAATGTCACTAATTGTAATAACAACAATAATGATAGCAATAATGGCTGTGGAGATAGAAAGTTCTAGAATCAATGGTTCACCACAAAAAGCCTTCTTATTGAGGTATGACAGATTGCAAAAGTCCATTCGAACACATATGGTTATAGGGATACTTACCAATTGGTGGTAGATATATACCAAGCCACAAAGCAGCTTGGTAAATATCCACCACTAGCCACTGAAACTGAGGTGAATAGTTGTTTTAGTTTAAACTAAAACAGTGCTCCTTTAGTATAAACTAAAACAGTGAGATAAGACTGCACAAAAAAGAAGATTTTAACTCATTAATTTTACTACTGCAACAGTTACAATCACATGTTACCCCTGGGTTCAAAGCATTAACTGAATTACAATATTTCTGGGTGGAAATCCTGTGTGAGGTGAATAGCAAAGGATATTCAGAGTTTGAGTAGCCAATCAGGGTGCAGCTTCAACTCTATCCACTGTTTTAGTATATACTAAACCTTGATGTTCTGCGAGGTAATAATTCCAGCTATCAGCAAATGGTGTAAATTAATAATAACAATAATGAATGATGATGATAAAATTACAATAATATACTAATGATGATTATCATCTCAGAACATTAAGTTAAGTTTAAGCTTATGTGGAACACCAAGTACAAATAACAAAGTCTATTATATCAATACACCCCACTTTCTGTTTGTTTACTGCCATAATAACCCTCTTGGTTTGTTGGGAGAACACATGGTCAAATAGTTGGTTGAATAACATGATAGACCAAGGTGTTCTCAGCAAGACAGAAAGACCCAAAAAGCACTCTAAAACAATTCCTCCCTTAGAACAACTATGGAGCTGCTCCTATGTTAGAGTGAAATTTTCAACCTTCTCTCTGTAACTGTATGATGAACTTTCAAATGACATATATGAAAGTGATCCTCGCAGTAATGAACACTACTTAATATGTAGAAGTGAAAATAAGGCCTGAAAAAAATTCAGGCCTGAACGGTATTTGAACCAATGACCTCTGCAATACCAATGTAGTGCTCTACCAACTGACCTAACAAGCCAACTAGGAACTGATCATTATGCTGGTTCGTATAGGTCATAGGTTTAAATCCCACACATGCCTCAATTTTTTTCAGGCCTTATTTTCACTACTACATGAGTAGTGTTCATTACTGCGAGGTTAGCTTTCATACATTTCTTAAAAACCACAGTACACATATATGATTTTCATCTAATCAAATACATTCATTCATCACTTAATTCTCAGGTTAGATACAAACTAAAATGACGACCAGGGTCCATTTCTCGAAAATCCTGTCAACTTAAAGGGCCGGAAGCCATATCTTAAAATCAAAATTTTAAGAATAGAGGCACAGCTTCAGGCACCCTTACCAGTCCATTTTCTTTCTTTAGCTGATAAAGTTATTATTGAATTTTCAGATTGTTTTGAAACCCCACCTTGAATGAAAACAGAACAGCTTTATGGGCCTGTAAAGTTACTGGGACCTTTGAGAAACAGGCCCCTGCTCCTAGTTGGCTTTTAAGCTCAGTTGGTAAAGCACTGCACTGGTATTGCAAAGGTCATAAGTTCAAATCCCATACAGGCCTGAATTTTTTTCAGGCCATATTTTCACTACTACATGAGTAGCATTCATTACTGCAAGGATCACTTTAATACATGTCATTTGAAAGTAAACATATATGATCTCTATATGTTTAAATCGATTGTTTCAAATGACATTTACATGGGATTACAACTTAGGACTGAAAAAACTATGTTAATCAGCTGACTGCTGGCCAAGCAGGTGAAATCTATTTCTCTGTCAGCCAAAGCTTCCCATGAACCAGGTGCTTGGTACAATCACTTTGACAGGCTTCATTGGTCTCTAACCCTCGGGAAGGGGGGGGGGGAGGAGGGGAAAGGGGTGAGAGGAAGGAATAGAAACGACAACTCAATCTCTTACCCATCAATCTGAAAATTCCAGATGGGAATCAAATTAAATGTTGAGAATTTTCTCTTAAGTCACCTAAAAGGCTATCGAAAATTCTACTTAAAATAAAACAAACGATGGAAAATTGTCTTCTAAAAAAGGGGTTTCAAGGATTGAATGAACACTTCACACAGTTCGCTACAAACTCATTTGAGGCTAGAAAAAAGCGCTGCACATATGAAGTTGATCACCTTTAATACACAGAGCAAAAAACATTCAAAAATGGGCCTCAACGATAGCCAATGCTACCGATAAATTTTAGCAAAATTACGTATGATTCTCAGAAGCTATTCCCGAAATTACGACGAGAGCACCCACAAAGCTTACATCACAAGAGCTTTGCGTAAAACGTTTGATTTTCCGAAAAAGTGTTTTAGCTTACCTCCAAAGGTGCTGGTTTAGTCTTCGGCTTAACTGATGAGTTCGCCAGCGCTACTTTATACGAGTTTGTCCCTTTCGCTTGAAAGTGAAAAAATATTTTTGGCTAAGTCAATATTCAGAACAGATTGAGACACAACTTCAGCAATAAGCAGCGACCTTCTCAAACAGATATATTTGCAAATAACACGCCGTTCTCAAAGATCCTGTCGGGTTGTTTTTAAATACAAATCTTACAAACCAAAGAGAAGCAAGAACTACGAATAAATAAATGATGTCCTCTGCATGATCTTACCTGGTTCTAAATTCAGGCTAGACCCAGTCGCCGCCATACGCTTTAACCTTTGTCACACAAAAAGCAGAAGACTACCGAGAAACAATTACTTCCCGAGCTCAACGACATGCATGTCACAAGTTGTAAACTTAAATTTCAAATACTTTGGATAATCTTAAATTGTCCTCTAGTAATATTTCAAGAGGAGGTAAGATCAGGAGATAAATAACATAATTTACGAGAAAACACCATTCACCGACTCAAAGCAAAACAGCATCTTCGTATTCTTGCCCGTAAGGCCTGATGGGTAAAAACACTTGAGACCTGTCAATAATTTGTCGGCTGAACAGTCGTGAAAGTTCGACATGAGCGATGGTTTCCGATTGCTTGAAAACCATGGCGTACTGAAAGCAAACAAACATGAGAAATTTCTTGAAGGCCTTGTCAACTACACATGGATCCTGCAGACCTCCCTGGAAAATATTATTTTTTGGAACAGATCGATTCGCTGTCCATCCACTGAAGGCTTTGCATGAAAATCAGAGGTTCGTGAGAACTGTTTGTCATACGTGCAAAAATGCACACTTTTTTGGTGATGGGCAAGTTGTAACATATGTAAGTGCGTTTTTGGACGCGGAAAAGCGATAGAAAAGACCGCAACAGTGCCTCACACGGTACACTGTCTTGGTGCAGCTTTCTAAGTAGTCATTTGAATTCAATTGCATGTCTTCGGCTTTTTTAATAAAGAGGGCAAGATTACTAACAGCTGATTGGCTGATGGAGGGCATTTTTCATCAAGTTTGGTAGTTGTCCTAGACAAATTACTCGAATTTGTTTGTTTCTTAGGTCACTTGGGTTCTTTTGACGTTCATGTAAACAAAAATCTTGCCCTTTATATTATAAACAAACAATTAATCACATGGAGCTGAGTGAAATTAAGGATGCCAATCTTGTGTGTTTCAGAAGTTGCAGAAATTGCCTACCTTGTGATCTGGGCACTAACTGCAACTTTTGAAACCACATGTGATATTAATCCTTAATTTAACTCAGCCCCATGCAATTACCTATACATTTAACAATTATTCTTTGAAAAATGGCTAAATATTTACAGAGCCGTGAAGCGGCAAGTTAAAATATTCCCGAAAGCCACTATTCACCGAGATTGAAAAAAATAATTGTTTTACTGTATACACACGAAGTGATCACGACAAAATTAAAAGGAAGCCATTTTAAGGCAATTTCTGCTTCTGAAACTCTAGCGAAAGGCAAGTTTACGCCCACTATTTTGTTTTTCACATTATCCACTCGCTCAGAGGTGTACATTGTTGATTATCCCAAGATAGCAAACCAACCAGATTGCTTGAAAAGCCAAGATCACTGAGTGTGTATATTACTAAATTTTGGAGTCCTGAGGAATTCCTATTGGATATAGTTTTCATGTGAGGTTACATTGAGAAAACCTAAACTGCAGCAGTGATGTTTAGAGTTCTTTTTCATACACTGGCTAAGATTATGTTGTACTTAAAGTGATTTCAATCCATTAATTAATTTCTATTTTTTTTTGTTTAATGAAAAAATTGTCAATAATTGTTAGACATATTTAGAATTCAAATTATACAAGGAAATATGGCAGTGTGAATTATACATTCATACAATACATTATACATATTTGTCCATAAAGTTTGCTTAGCTTTAAAAAGTGAGCCACGGTGCCTGTAGGACCATCTAGTGTTGAAAATGTGTGGTTTTTACTTTTTGAGTATTTTATACATATATCTTTTTAAATTTTGTTTTGAAATTAGAAGTTCAGGCTCAGTTGTAAAACGGATTGATGTTGTGTGTCCACCAGACAGACGCAAAGTGATGAAGGTATGTCATAATTACAGGACTCAGTCTGTTAAAAATTACCCAAATGTGTCATATAGTATGACATACTGATATTAATTAGAGGGAAATGATAAATATCAAGGGAAACAATTAATATCAATACTTGATTGTTTTTGCTTTGGATATTCTTATCTTCTTGGAGAGGATACAGGTAGTCCTTCAAAGGATTACAGTACTTTTTGGGACAAACCCTCAAATATTTAATTGACTGTTACTTTTTTACTACAGCTTGGTGTCTACTGTAAATGTCTGTCAAGAATATAGGTTTTCTAATTTCCAGGAAATTTAAAAATGCAGCCATTCAGGAGTCTATCTATTAAGTGTATACCACTCAGGTGAATGGTGCTTTTCACGTCTGCTGATTGGCTAGTTTGGAAGTGAATGGCAGGTACTTTTCACCTCCAAGTAGCCAAAGAGACAAAATTGCATGTCAAGAGTTTAATTTTTCCATCAAGTAATGGAAATCAACTAACATTCACTCTGATGATGACTTCCGCACAGGTTGTCGAAACGTCAGTCACTCCCACCGACAACAGTCCTTCTCAGGACTACACTCACCCGGACGATCAGACTACACCTTCACATTCACCTCAGTGGTGGTGAAAGTGGCAGATATTTATCCTGTGGCTTTGCAGCTCAGTAAATATCCACCACTATTCATCATCCTCTTTAGAGAATACCAATAATTGTGAAGTAGCTAGAAAAATTTAAGTTGACCTAATTTCATTTAGGTCTTGTGTTAAATTTATAATTTTTCTGTTTGTATTTACACTATTCAATCTTTTATTTTACAGTAAGAGCTTGAAACTGTCAGATAAAATCAATGCACTCTCTAAAATGAAACTTTATAAATGTCTCAGGGAAGAAGCTGGCTGTGCAATGAGGTTCTAAACGATTAACTGGAATACAGCTTTAAGTTTAAATTTACAAGACATGTTTCAACATTCTCATGTCATCTTCAGTTGCAAATGAGCTTTTAAGGGTTGTACATTTGAATTTGTATTAAGATACGTTGCAAAGTACATGTCAGGGCTTACGTTACAATTTGAATATTAAATACGCGGAAAATGTAAATAGCACACACTTGACTAGACCAAATAATAATAATAATAATAATAATAATAATAATAATAATAATAATAATAATAACAATAATAATAATAATAAAATAAAAGACCAAAAATTTATAAACGACACACGAACTGCATCTTTCACTACATTCATGTGTCGTTTATAAATTTTCGTGTGCTGGTTGTAATGCCAGTTATATTGGTGAGACCACTCGCCTCATTTGACATTTGTACACGAGTTTGTGAGCACCTCTTGTCGGACAAGACTTCACATATTTACAAGCACCTGCAATCATCAAGGGCTTGTCTTGACTCTTGTTATACAGAATGTTTCACAATCCTAGATTCTGCCGCTTCAAAATAACAAATTAAGATCAAAGAGGCATTCCATATTAAGTGGGAAAAACCCATTCTTAATCAGCAATTGAAGCATCTAGAATTGTCTCTTTCCTTTTAATTATGTTGTTCCTTGATCTTTTATTTTATTATTATAATTATAATTATTATTTTTGTTTTTTGGTCTAGTCAAGCGCGTCCTATATACATTTTTCGCATATTTAATATTAAATTTGTAATGTAAGCCCTGACACGTACTTTGTAACGTACCTTAATATAAATTCAAATGTACAACTGTTAAAAGCTCATTTGCTATTGAAGAAGACATGAGAATGTCGAAACATGCCTTGTAACTTTAAACTTAAAGTTGTTGTTTCTTTATTGAGAGTTACTGTCACTGCTGTCTTTACATCCTTTTGGTAACATAATACTGCTTTACTTTGTAACTTTTTGCCTCAGAAACCTTTGAATGAAGATGATTCTACAAGAGAATTTAGCAACAAACATAATATTCCTATTTATTATTGGAATCACAAGGAAGGCTGGGACCTTAATCAAGGGTAAGAATACAATGACTTTTGGCTTTGGATTGATCAGTATGTTATTATCGTTATTAATATGGCTAATTTTGATTGTTGTCTCACGGCAGGCCACCTGGTCCATATGACATTGCAGTTGTTGCATCCTTTGGCTACTTAATACCTAACCATGTTCTGGACATGTTTCCGTGGTAAAAAAACAGCATACTGCATTAAAGAATTTTAGTAGTATAATAAATAGGAGTAGGTAGAGTGCCATTTATTAAAACCCCAAGAGAATCAAGGACTGCTGTACTTATCAGTATTAATTTTTTCTATCCATTTTAAACAAAGCTGGTGTTTGTTCTTTTTTTGTGTGAAGTTGTTTTTAATTTTTAAACTCTGGGAAATAAATATACGTTGAAGCCTCCTTTTAATTTTAACACAGTAGTAAACAGACAAAAGTAACTTGAGAATTAAGAATGAAAATTATCAAATTGAGGAGGTCTTGACTTGGTGTAATGACATCATTTTCCAAGGTTAGACAATGAAACATATGTCTGATAATTAGTCAAGTCAATGACTTCCTGATCTTTGAATTGAAACTGAGGGATTTGTCCTTGTTGACTGATGAAATCTTAGCCAAAGTCCCTAATTTTGAGTAAGTGGTAAAAATAAATTGATTTAAGGGAACCACATATTGATCTCCAGCTCAAACAGTTTAGTCTTTGTCTCGTAGAGCTAAGGATGCACTCAGAACCAGAGAAAAGTGTTTGTACAGGAAAGGCATTTACTTGACTAGATGGATAAAATTGGAGAAATGTACAGATAATCAAGATGATAGATGTATATTGTGTCTGCCTAAATACAGTGTTAGCAAAGAAACAGAAGGGTGACCCTGTGTTATCATAGTGTTATTGTGTAATTAATTTTCATTTTAGTGGTGCTATAAACATTCACCCATCTCTCCTGCCGCAGTGGAAAGGAGCTGCGCCAATGTCACATGCAATATTAAGTGGAGCAAAGGAGACAGGGATATCCATAGTTGAAGTATCCAGAGACAGGTCAATTTAAATTTAAAAAATAAGGCTGTATGATGCTGTAGTCTGTTGAGTAATAGATCACAGATAGCATCAAAATGTGGCAAGAACAAAACAGTGTGCCCCATGTGTCACTTAATATGTTTTCACCACATTTTGATATCGTCTGTGATATATTACTGCACAGAACCACAGCAACATAGAAATATTGAGTGACTGAAAGCAACCCTCAGAAAAATCTTTCTGGGGTCAACTTACTGCAACTTGTCAATCTATTGACCATAAAAGATGTTTAACTTAGGTTTTCAATACGAGAGAACCAGAACAGCCATTAGACACACATGTAGTAACATTCTTGTGCAAATAGAAGCTCAAATAGAAGCAAGAATGGAAGTCTTAGTGACCATACTGTCATCTCTCTAACCCCCCCCCCCCACCACCCCAGAGGTGTGATAGTTCATAGTTCATCCAAACGTGTTGAATATGGGCTAACTGTGGCAAAAACTCTTTCTTTTTCACTGATGATGTATCTCAACACAGTTGACAATGGCTAAAACTGATTGGAGTCTTTTTTCCACTGAAAATGTATCTCAACACAGGAAGTGATCCCAAATTATTTTCATTGTCACTTGTGAATTTTAGATTTGATGCTGGGCAGTGCTTACTTCAAGAAACATTTAAGGTTTGGAGTTTTATCACCTTACTAGTTGAGTTTTGTTTTGTTTTGTTTTTTTTCGTGTGTTGTTTCAATTAAAAATGCTTATGCAGTAAATGGTTTGAACCCGGGGGTAACATGTGAAGGTGTAGTATGATCGTCCGGGTGAGTGTAGTCCTGAGTGTAGTCCCTTGACTCTGATGATGACTTCCGCACAGGTTGTCGAAACGTCAGTCACTGCCACCGACAACAGTCCTTCTCAGGACTACACTCACCCGGACGATCATACTACACCTTCACAAAAATGCTTATGTTAAGATTTCATCTGTTTCAAAGATTTCAGAGGATGTTATGTACGATGACCTTTCGAATCAACTTGCAACACTTGGCACACAAATGGTGGGTGTTTCGGTCACATTACCCTGTTGGAATTAAAGAACTTACCAGTCTTTACCATGCTTAGGTCCCCTTTATTCTCTCACTTTACAAACCTATACCCAGGCATACTTCTCCTCCCTCAAGAACACGTGATAAGCACCATCTTAATCTAGGGGAACGCTGGCTAACGCAGACATTCTCTCTGTGTTCTACACCTTCCATTTCTGTTTGGCATCCTAAAATCTAAGCGTGGAACAGGATAGATTTCACTAGAACTTATGCGCTTTTAAATTATTGCCCTTTTCTTTATTCCAGATTGCCATTGGTACTATCATATAAACAAAGGTTTCATTGATTTATGTAGCATTAGGTTATCGTGATTTACACGCTTAGCCAGCTGACTCAGTTTCAACTACTTGTATTGTCGTTAAAATTCACATTTCTTGACCTAACATTACGATTTTGTAACCTCAGCTGATGCATGCTCTAGAGAATTTAGAGTCTTTGCGCAAAAATCCCATACAGCGGGGAAAGATGAAAGCCAGCTGGGGTAAGTTTGCAGATGAATAAAGGTGGTAAGTATCTAACGAAACTGTAGGACTGCGTCGGTGGGGGAGTATAACAAGGTAATTTGGTTTATCAACTGAGTTGACAATGTAAATTGGCCACCGTAAAGAGTTTCAAAGCTGACGTTTCGAGCGTTAGCCGTTCGTCAGAGTTTGTACTTCTTTGTGAATGGGCAACAGTACAGAAATCTAACAAAGATTCCAAGAATTATCAGTGCGTATGGTATCCTCTGTGTGATCTGCAAGACCAGAAAAGGTTCTTCCGTTCTTGCTTCTTCGGTAGGAATTCAAGTTCTTTCCTTCTTTTTTAAACATTTGAATAATTGTTACCGTCGTTACAGCCCATCGTCTGACTAAAGAGGACGGTTACATTGACTGGACAGATCACACTTGGTCTTATATCAGGAGGCGATGGAATGCTCTCTCTACCAGAGTAAGAAATGATTGTTGTTGCCGACCAACTTTTTGCAGCCTAATCAGGAATACAGTTTTCGTTTGAGTTTCATGTTTGAGAAATAGATTGGAAACAGTAACAAGAATGATCACGGCTTTGATCTCTCAGAATTATTTTCTCATTTCGACAACCTGAGCGAAAGTCATCTTTAAGGTCCAGTGAGGAGTTGTTTGTCAATGGAGTAATAGTAAGCAAAGTCTAATGTCTTTACGTGGGGCATGGTTATCCATATTGCCCGAGCCAGAGGCTCATGTATGAAACGCAATACAACAACCCACCCATCCTACCCCAGGGGAGGACATCCATCACACAGTAATCTCGTGCGTGGGAAATTAACGTCTCCTACTCCTAACCCTGCAGGAGACGGGACCTCCATTTATTCGTCCCTATCCGAGAAGACTAGAATATCTCAACCTTTTCTTGATGTTATAGAAAGGCAGCATATTCTTCTCAATTATTTTAAGACCTTGAGTGTTGGTCCGGTCGGGGCTCGAACCCTCGACCTCCCGCACATCAGTCTAGCGCTGTATCCATTGAGCTAACCAGGAGGCGGTTAATGGAGTGTCTTAAGTGTGATGCGTGAAACGTTATTAGTCAGTCAAATTGTGCTTTGGCATTTGTGGGTGAAATACTCAAATGATATACGTCGGTCGTGACTGGTTAGTTTCGATCTATCGGTAAAGTGTGGTGAGTCTGTTCGGGCGTCATGCATGCGGCCATGGCTTTATCGTCCATGTAGCGTAACAAAAACTGCCTTTCTTGTCCTTCATATTTAAGACAAGTGAAGTGGTTAATCATACAATGGACAAGTGCCACACTAAACGTGTTTGGTTTGTTTGTTTGTTTGTTTTTATCTGTTTGTCTCGTTTTTCCTCTTAGGTTGGAGTTCAGACAAGCTGGGAAGGCAAAAAGGTCAAGTTAATCAAAATGTCTAAGGAGTGTCTTCAGTGTAAGTCGGTTTGGCTTTTAAGCGCCACTCCTCTTGGTTGTGAACGTAGGAGAAGATTTTTGTATAAACCAAAAAATTTCAACATCGAAAGTTTAAAACGTCAGTGTGATGATATCATTGATCAAACATACTGCGAATCTGAGAGGCTCATTCTCGTCGCTAACAATTCAGTTGGCGAAGATTATTCTGAGTATTCTCGTCCTCAGGCTGATTATTACTTCCATGATGTTATTATTTCTAGTAACAGCTGAAGATACTGTGTCAACAATTCCAGGGGAAGTGAAGTATGATAGAGATCGTGATGCCCTGTACATTAGATGTCGGGTATGTGCACCATCAGTTTTAGTATTTTGTTCTTTTAATTTCTTAGTCCATGCTTTAATCTCTATCGGTCGCGCTAAAATTCTGAAAAAGTCCCCTAGAGTCCCTTTCTTTTGATGTTCTGGTGAAGTACACTCACGGTTTTGGTAAAAAAGCTTTTTGGTCGTTGTGGCGGTTTAAAGAGGTCCACTTTTCAGTAATTTTAGCTGTAAAAGCAAATTATGACTTAAATAACCACAAACAAAATTACAGCAACAGAATTTTAACTTTCCATTTTGAAAAATGGAAATTATATTATATTTCTGTGAGATAAAAGGTGTTCTGTCGTCTTTGTTGCTCAGGTGTTTAAAGAAGTGCTATTATAATACATTCAGTCCGTTGCCCGTTGGCTATTTTGTATGCCTTGTTGGTCATGTAAAATATAATTCATTCAACGTACTTGTCTGAGAACTGAACTTTTTTTTGAAGCTGGTGGGTCAGCTGTAAGCCCGAAACACTTATCATGTGATATTTTCGCTTCTTGTGTCAGTCTGTTGGAGCATTTTTTTCGTCATTCAAACTGGAATGAAGTAAGGATACAACTTGAGGAGTGCGGATGCAGCATTTTTTATTAATGCTTCGTGTTTACGTTCACCTAGGACGGTTGGGTTGGAATAACAGAGCTACAGTTTGAAACCAAGACAGTCATTACTGCTAAAGACTTTGCAAACGCATATCTTCATGAATCAGTTCGGAATCCTTTGAAATTGTGTTTTCAAAGTCTTCCGTGGAAAGAAAAATGACTATGCGCTCAAAATATTTGATTTGTTATCAAACGTACATCTGACATTGAATTTTGGGCAGGTGTCGACGACAGCAGTGAGCTTTCAGCATGGAGGCGGGTCGTTTGTAACCATACTGGACATTGCCTGAAATGCAATTCCTTCCGTACTGATAACGGCCTATCTCGAAATGTATTTATCGAGCGTAACTTGCTGACTGTTGGTAGGTCGCAGGAAACAGGTCATGGTCGCACATAATAAGCATTAATTATTGCAGAAGAAAAGAATTGCTAAATTAAACCTACTCGTCTCTTGTCCAACAACGCTACACTTTTGATGTTTCGTTCCTATTTTTTTACTGTTTAAGTAGTACTGTTTTATCCCCTATATCCAACTTGTGCCCATCCCACTCATCCCCAAGCTCCCCCAACCCCACAACTCCCGCTGTAGAACATTTCTTTTCCTGTTTCCATCTTTCCCTGCCTCACTCGTTAAACTTTTCATCATGTTTTTAACTAGTTTTAAACTTGTATTATTAGTATCTGGAGATTAGAAAGCCTGGAGACTCCATACGTAACTAATGCATATCTTTGAAAGGCAACAATTTTTACTCATCGCTCTTAATGATAAAAAAAAATTTTACTTTGAGCAAGAACAGATAACTAAGTGAGTTCAGCGTGAACGCTTTGGCAAATCAAACTTTCGTCATTTTCGATTTGGTTGAGCTTCCGAGGTGAACAGTGACTGTTTGATTTCCTCCGGGAAAGTACATGTTTAACTGTTTTATTTTCAGAGCTAAGAAAATGTTTGATGACTTTCCTCGACTTGGCGTAGTCATCTGGAAAAAGGAAAGCTGTTACTGTGCGCATTCAGCTTTTTATCAACAGCGCTTGCATTGTATTCCCCCTTTCATGAAGAATGTATTATTCCCTTCTTGACGAGAGGAAATGAAAATTAACTTACAGTTGTCGTTGGTAAATTCCAGGGGACTAAAAGTAGCCGTAAGGTAAGCTGTGTGCATTCCATTTTGTAGCCAGCACCCCTATCATTACAGTTTATTTCACTTTTGGTAAAACGCTATTCTAACTCCAAAGTGAGATAAAGTTATCCGTTCGTTTCTGTGCATAGAAATAAAAATAGAATCATTTTTGTCGCTGACTCTGGTGTGAGGGCTAGCCTTGCATTGACGTCGAGGCCAAAATAATAATTTGGAATTAAATGCCGGTGGTGGGTGGGGGGGATGCGCTGGTGTCTGATCAAACTCCCAAGGGATGTCACGTAACTCTCGCTCTCAAGAACGGTTGCGAATGAGACTGGACTAGAAATGGGTTATTCTCTACCATATTTTATAATCACAGGAATTCAAAGATTCGATTTGAATATATATGTTTTTTTTTTTGGTCACTTAGCTCTACCTCCAACAAGATATATACAGAAGTAACAAAATTCGGCACCGCTGCATTCAAACTTAAAAACAATTTTGCCGAAAGTGGACGTACGAGTGTCTCGGGCGATACCGATGAATATCACCCGACTGTCTGATTCTGAAAAGAATCATGTTTGTCACTTATCTTTATATTCAACAAAAGATCAAATCAGGGTAATAAATGAAACATTCCTTGATGAAATGTTTCTTAAACAGCTGAAACCAACTATTGCTGCTTTTACACGTTACTGATTAGTCGAGCTTTATGTCAATAACTCCTGCATTCTAATTGATTCTTATCTGAGTAACTAGGAAGTTTTCACCCAACTAATCTGGCCTCGTTTCATTTGTTTTGACACTGCCCAACAGTTAAAAAAGTCACCACGATTTACCTATCAACGTGATCAATCACATATGGCCCAAGCGTACTGTGCATGATTTTGGGGCTTAAAGGTCATTTACGGGAATACCTAACATATTAAGATTGAATTTTAAGCGTAAGCCTTGGCAAAATTTTGTCGCGTTTGTTCATGACTACGGTTCAACGGTTGTTCCTTTGTCGGCCATTTTGAGGTTTAACCCAGAGTCACTTTTCAAGGCTTGCGTTCGGCCGGAAGCAAATTATCTTTTGGCTTTGTAATTTCTATTTCTGAAAAGTCACTTTTAACCTCTTCTATATAGCTTTCAAGGGCTACTGATTTTCGTATTGGTGGTATCCATGTAGATTTGACGTGGCAGGGATGGGTTTTTTTGTCCTCCCCTCGGAATACGTAAATCAGACGCACTCTCCTTGCGAACTGATCAAAGTCCCACAATAGTTGTTGTCTGATCTGTTTTTGTTTTGTAGCGGGTGTTGGAATGAATTTAAGCCCTTTTGCCAGTAAATTAATCTGGTCGTTTGTAAGTTCTTTATTTGAGAGGTTTTTATGTGCGTTTTGTTCGCCTCTAGTTTGATAGTTGAACGTGTTTGGCAAGACCGCGGTTTCGATCCTAATCTTGTGGATCTCGTCAGTTGCCGATTCACTGAATAGACTGTTGCACCCGTACGCAATACAATGTCTAACCATGACGAGAACATGCTGTATCCTTAAGAAAATGAATAAAAATGCCTCCAAACGTAGCCGTTTGCTTCGATTTTACTTGAAAGTTTTACCTGCGTGACCTGTAGCCTCGTTTCGAAACTTCAAAATCTGCTGAGCTTTCGTACAGTGGGCCTAAATGCGATAAGGGCTGTTGCCACCCTGGGAGGTTTATTTGCAAAACTACTTTGCTTCTTTCTCAAACCACCGAGTCAATCCTAGCATCATTCACTTTGCATCATTCACTTTGTCAATCTCAGGGCTATGAAAAACGTTGCTCTTCTGAATATTTCGTTTCATATGAGGTCGTTCCGAGTCCCTGCAGTAACACCAAGGTCTCATTTTTTATCTGATAAAGTAAAGGAGTTCCTTTTCCAATGCATAATTCCGCACCACGCTTTTTTCAACCAGAAACCACGTCTGCAATAAGCTCCGTAAACAATGGGATCAAGAAAACTTGTAAATAACAATGGAAAATTAGCAACAAAACAAAATAGCGCTTGATCTTCAAGAGGTTTGTACTTGCCGCTGCCAAATGCTACCCACATACAGATCACATTCAACGGACCGGTGGAAAAAGCAAATACAGCAACCATAATGGAGAATGCTTTGCACACACGGACATGTTGTTGTCGGCTTGCTTCACGTTGATATGTGCTTGTTTCTGATAAATCTTTTAAGACGCAGAATCTAGATTTTCTGAGAGCCAAGGCCGCTTGAATGTAACATACAGCAATAATGACCAGTGGTATCATCAAGGAAATCGCGGTTCTCAATGTGTAGAACGCGATTCGATAGTTTTTGTTTTGGTTCTTATCCTCAGAACAAGACAGTGGACCAACTGTTGAGGCGTTATACATGACAGGGACAGTCAGTACCGCTGACAACAGCCAGCATAGGCTCAGCATGACAGCAACAGCCCGCTTTGAAAAGCGAGTTTTAAGTGGGGTCACGATTGCGCGCCTTCTTTCAATGGCGATAACAACCTGTGTGGACACCCGGAGAAACGGGTAAAATGTAATCATTGGAATAATCACGCGACATGCAATCATTGTTGAGTACTCGACATCGAAGTCTACGTAAAAGAGAGCTGGAGTGAAAGTGATCAGTATGAATAAATCTGCAAAAGTAAGATGCAACATTAACACTTTGTTTGCTGTCAAATTTTGTCGCCCCTTGTTCTTTTTGATTTCAGGAAACACAAGAATGTTCTCAAAGATTCCTATGATGAAAAACAGTCCATAAAAGAGTTGCAAAACAATGATCCCTGTCCTGGTGCCCTCTGGCATACTAGAATCCAGTATTGTAGGCATAGCTCACTTCAGAGATGAGATGAAAGTAGTCTCTACCTTAATAATGAAACAAAATATGCAACTTGAAATACTCCAAAATGGTATGCATTATGATCACTGTCCTGGTGCCCTCTGGCATACTAGAATCCAGTATTGTAGGCATAGCTCACTTCAGAGATGAGATGAAAGTGGTCTCTACCTTAATAGGGAAACAAAATATGCAATTTGAAATGCTCCAAAATGGTATGAATTATGATCACTGTTATCAAAACAACATTATCCCTGTATGGCTCCCTCCTTTTAATAGCAATTATTTTTGAAAAAAACATCAAAGAAATGAAAATAGCGTCCGAGGAAGATCCTCTCTGTCGGAGAAGGAGGAAGCTAAGCCCTCGCCGGAACTTATAAGATGTGACGATACCGTGATTTTTTTTCCTATACTACGGGACTTTTTGCGGGGAACAAACATCAACGGGGGAAAATAGCTCGATGAAGTACCACTTGGCTCGCGCGAACGCAACTGACTCGTTACGATTTCCTGGTTCATGGGACCTGCTTCGATGAACATACTTCTGGGCCAGCAAGCGGTGCAGGTCGCTTCGCCAGCTTTGAATTCCGTTTTAAGAAACAAAACAAAAAGGAGCTTTCCAGTTAATTAGATTTCATGGTCTAGAGCGGGAACTGACTAATTTGATAACAACATCACTAAAACATTTTTTCTACCGCAGTTGAATCTTCGATCTACCGCTCAGCTCCGGCACACTTCACTGATAAAGAAAAGGCCAATCGAAGAAAAAGTTACATGTAAAAATTCCTTAAATCTACTGAATGATTACTGGCTCACCTGGTACATTGATAAGGCACAATTAGATGTTTACGATTAACCAAGTCCGAGCAGAAGTATTCCTTTCCAGCCTGAGCCAAAAATTTCATGATCTTGGAAAAAATGACTCAGATTATACAAGACATTATATTCTCTTGGTTTATACTGTTAAACTAAATAAATTTAAACATTTAAATCAATTTTGAAGGTTTAGGTATCTGATAAGGTGCTTGTCAAATGTTATTGTTTTAGAAGCAATCAGGCACTCAGTCAGATGCCAAAAGACAGTCTTTCAGTCTTGTTAAGTAAACTTCTTTGATGTTTGTCATAGAATTCTGATTTCTGAGCGGGACAAATCGCAATCTGCCGAATAAACGTAAAAATTACTGTTTGTACCTTCTGTTGACTTTTCACAGAAGAAAGTTCCATAACTAATGAACTCAGATGACAGTTCTGGTAAATGGACAAAGCCCGACAGGAAATTGCCAACCTGATGTATGATCTTAAAATAGGAAGATCTTAGGTATTTAAGCTTGTACATTCAAGGCAAGCCCAAGCAACAAAGCCTTTGGAGCTGTTTACAGTTGCTTATGAACGCGGTATTCTTTGAATGGGAAAGTCTTTCAGCTTCACCAGTTCAAACTACCTTCGGCTTTACTTGACACTCCTAATTTGTGGCGCATACAGGATCTCTTTTTAGTAACTTAGATAAATCTCTTTTTGCTAAAAATGTATAGGAGGAAAGCTGGAAGAAAAATATATGCGACAAAGTTCGATCTTTTCGAGGCCGTTCAGTCTTGTCAAGTTTTTCTTAACTCTGATATTTACTTGATCTTTTGTGGTAAAATGTGGAGATGAAAAGTACTTGTTGTGTAGTCGAGGGTTAGTCTCAGTCAAGTAAAATACACCAACCTCACCAGCTGTATGAAACAGTTTTACAGTTTGGCTCAGCCGATACTTTTGCTGAAAATTTAGACTCTGCACCAAATAATAACCGATCAGATGGGCGAAAAACAACTACAGTGACTTTTTATTTTCCTTCGAAATATTCTTCCACACTACAATCCTCTCATACCATAAATGATTCTTAGCAAAAGAACAAAGTCGATGATCTGTACTGTTTTGATATCCCCTGCTTTGCGTATGTTTTCCTTTAGCAATACATGTCCCAAGCACTATTTTTGTTAAGTCGTTCACACTCTCATTGTCCTTATTCAAAAAATTTCCTTTAAACTCTCAGCATTACTGACCTGCAGTGGCCGGACTCACCTTCAAGGTCACTCCTTCACAATTAAGAAACTTTTTCCCACTGCCGCGTCATTTAACTGGGACATTGTGAGGATCATCATTATTTATTCAGGTGATTTCCTCCGGCAACCTATAACAATTGGAACAGCATCTTTCCCATTATGTATTTTGATCTCGTCAGCTTTATTTACTTTATTTTCAATCAATTTATTTCAATCAACGATCATTTTTAACTTGGGGTTCACTGATTCGCAATTTTATTAAAACGGAAACGTTTGTTTAATTACAGTTAAGCATTTTTTTATTCGACCCTGCTAAGTGCAGAAAAGTTGTCGCATGTGAACCTAGTCAGATGGCCTAATTCAGCAGCGAGTTCTGCCTAAATCAGTGATGAAGCATGGGGAAGGTTCGTAAAGGGACTTAGATTTTTATTTGCCTCCCACACGTGACAAATTAAAACGAAAATCATGTTTCCCTTTTAGAGTCATATAAACGTTAAATTTTGTCTTTGACAGTCTGTCAAAACCGCAAAGATAATTATATATTTTTGTTGTTCCCATTCATAGATTTGTTTTGGACGCCGTTTCTTGAAAAGTCGGACAGTAATTAAAACTTCAATGCCGGACTGAAAGATTAAAAAGCTGTCTACACATTGGATCATACCCAGTCCTTCTGTATGTGCCACTCATTCCGATCAGTCGGTAAACGAAGTTCCTATCTAATTTACTTAACGAATCGAAGAAAAAGTAAAAACGGAAAAGGATTTATTTTTGGCCATTTTAGTTAATCTGATTTTACTGCTCCCAGCTAGTCACAAACTCCCTTCGCTATTTGAAGGTTAATTTTTTGAAAAATCCGAAGGAGGCAGTGTCGCGGTTCATGATCATGAGAAGACAATTTACCTGTTTATCACTCATAATTAGACATATTGCTTTTTGATATTTACTTTTTTTATGGTTTTATGGCAATATTTTTGCAAGAAGGCTTATGCTTCGACGTATGAAGTAACGAGTTCACCCCAGTCATCAAAGTTTGACGGGGGTCTGAAAGGGAGTTTTTCCCAATCCCATCATTCCTATCGGGGCAAAACAAGATGGCGGTAAGTGTTCTTGATCCTCTTCGGAAGTGTGATTGGGTTTTGATATTTGTTTATAACCGTTCATCGCATTTTTGTAGACTGAAAGAAAGAAAAAGGAAAGTATATTTGAACTGTCCAACTTTCTTGATAAAAGAGTTCGTGTAAAATTCCAAGGTGGAAGAGAAGGTAAGACAAATTTATTTTACAATTCTAAGTACTTTCATGTTTGCCAACACACGTGGTATGGCTGTCAAATATACTAGTTAAAGTAACCTGCTAGTACATAAGTGTGCATAATAAAAAATCTCCTTTCATTCAGAAGCAGTGGGTTTTTATTTGCATTTTCAGCGTTCAGATGTAATTTCGTCCATGTGCAGGTTATTAAAATAGTCAATTTGGAGCCACACTCTGTTGCTGAACGCTACCGACAATTTAATGGTATATTAACTTTTGTCTTCAGCTACTGGTGTTTTGAAAGGTTTTGATGCCCTACTGAATGTGGTGTTGGATAATACAACAGAATGTTTAAGAGGTAATAGAGATCATCAATGATTTCTTATTGCTTATCTTTGAGGTTACAAGTCAACTTTGTTTACTTCGCACATGTTCTCAAAGGCTATCAACTGTCAAACCTGTGTTTGTTTCTAAGCAATTTGCATACAGAGCGTTTTTCAGGGCCATTACTAAGAATAAAAAATGTTTGCTCAGAGATTTTTTCGTTTTTACAGATCCTGATGACCCATTCAAACTCACAGATGAGACCAGGCAACTGGGTCTGGCTGTGTGCAGAGGAACGGCTGTGGTTTTGATTTGTCCTGTTGATGGCATGGAACCCATAGCAAATCCATTCTTGCAACAAGAATGATAACTTTTCTAGACTTATCCCTTTTCTGCTCTTTCCTACCTTTTGTAAGACAATGGTTTTTTTTCTTCGTTTGTAATCTTTTTCAAGCAAAATATAAAGTTTGTGCAAAGTGCAGCTACGGTTGTTTGCTCATGGATCTCTTGTATACACGGGTATCTACCTAAACAGCTGTGGTTAGGCATTGAAAGAATGGTTATGGACAGTTACTGACTCCACATCAAGAATAGCCTTCTGTGTTTTACATGTAAATGTAAAGAGAGTAAAATTCATAGTCCTGGTTTGGTGGTGTGTAAATTTTTTTCCGTGTTAGGTGAAATAAAGCAGTCTTTTGAATTGCAATAAAATAACATGTAACTTAAGATGGCTTGCAGTGCATTGCATTGGCAGATACTGGATGAAGAACAGACAAGATAAAGATTGTTGTGCTGGAGCTGTTAACTCTTTGTCCCTGAAGAGTGACTTGTATCTAACTTCTTACAATTTCACCCCTGAATCAGACATCAGGGTCACAAGAATTAAGGAAATAACCACCAACTATGGAAGCTCTCCATTGTTAGACAAATTCTCCTTGTCATTACCTTAGGAAATGTGTGGAGAACAGTAAAGAGAATATGCATACTACTGTTAGTGTATAATTAAATCAGTGATCAGTTATTTCTTTGTACGTAGTCCACAGATTTAGCTGAGTTACACATTATCTCCTGCTAATGACTTTCACCATTCTCAACACCTGATAGTGCTTACTTAAATGTGTATACAAAATCACCAGTTAATAATAAAAAAATGCACACCAATTAATTGACATTTTAATTTCACCTAAAATTAATACACCTGAAAATCTTCCTGAATAATATTGCCTAATTACACTAAAGAGTTTGTATAACCTTACAGTAATTCATCATATAACTGCTTCTAGTTCATAATATTGAGACTCATTACATTAATTCACAAATCAATAATCCTATGTACATAATAAAATTTGGTTAAAGAAACTAGAAGAATGCTTTTGAACAGGGAGGACAACTGGAAGACATGGAGGAAAACCATGATAGAATAGAAGAAAAACTGACCACAGAACAAGAATCAAACACAGTCCACTGTCATATGAAGTATGCATAATTTCCCTCCCATGTGCTGTTGCCATTCCTCTCCATCAACTTAATTTTTCTCAATTTCACTTATGTATGACAACTAAATAATCTACTTGGGCCAAATTTTTATAAGCAATTTTGCTCAGAGAGTAGCAAACCCAGCTAATTCCTAACTACAATGGCCATGATTTAATATGAATGCATATCTGCATTACTTAGAAAGGCTACATGAAAAATTATCTAGCCTCTTTTCAGCAATTCATTCAATCATTGACAGCAATTCATTCAATTGTCCCTTGCCAGTCTGTCATAGGTTACCAAAGACTAGGAAGGAAGTTTGATTTCCTAGATAATGATGTGAACATTGCTGGGCGGTAACTTCGTATTTACAACTTAGGAAAATTACCACAATCTTATTGGCATTCTATAATAGTTCTGGGTGGTTTAAGAAAAAGGCAACATTAAATTTCTACCAAGATGAAGCCATATTAAAATATTTTTGTGACATTTGATGACATAATATCCAAGTAACATACAAAAATAAATACACATTTAGCTTGTTTCTAGAAACATTGCTGTGTTTTCTTAGTAATTTCAAATTAAATAAAGTTATTTCACTTATTTCAATTCCTTGATATCAAAATAATGATTCAAATTAAAGCTGAATGAATCTCTTGTGACTGCTGGTAGCTACAATTTTTTCAGTTGATTCCATTGTTGTGCCTAAAGAACAATTAAGTGCAACCAAAATTGCAAGCCAAAACATTTGGTCAGAATTCACAAAATATAAAAAACAAGTAAGTCTTGCAATGCAAAACACTTGACATGTGACCAACTTTCCATCCAAGTGACTATAACAACAGACTCACTGCAACAGCAAAAACTGTTTTTCAGTAATAGGTCAAACCTGGCATGTGACATACTTAAAAACATATAAATTATACCCAAAATGTAACTGCCAGACTGAGTATTACCTTGTTTAACAAAATATTATCCTACTATATTTCTACTATGGTTTGTGAGTAATGACAAATGATTGAAATTAGACTGCTGTTAGTTTTCATGGTCTATAAGCCGTCTAGTTAAACTTTTGCCTTTAAATTCTTCGTCCTCACTATCATCATTCTGACCAACATCTTCAGACACCTGAGACAATAATTTGCAATAAATAAATAAAAAAAAAATAAGTATATTAATAAAGTACAGCAAAAAATTGTTAATATCAATAAAATGGACAAAATAACACAGTAAATTAAAAAAAGAAAAACAAGCACACTAAAACAAATTTAAGTGTTTGCAAATCCAGAGAAAACACCTAGATGAAAGGAAAAGTGTCTTCTTTCCAATCTTGGCAAAAACATTATACTGCATTTCATTTTTCAACCTGGATTTCTCTATGCCATGTGGCAGAGAAATTTTGCCTGTCATAACTTTTTCAAGTTGTTCTTCATCATCAAAAAAAGTTATTTGCTACATATTCTCACAAAATAAAATTCTGCCAAAATTTAACACCTTTAGTCCAATAAGGGAGTTTGAAGACCAGTTATTTGCCATTTTCTGTTCTTTGTGATCACTCTCTCACAATATTCATTCAGGAATAAACTACCATGTTGATTTCTTCTGTTGGTTAAAAAATTTGGCAGTTTCCTTCCACACCAATGGTCTGGTGTTTGAAATTACCTAGCCAAATTTAGATCCTAAAAGATATCCAAAGTCCTTCTAAGCCGAAACAACTCCTGGTACAGAATACACAAACACCCAGTGGTACAAAGCGTACTTCCAGCAAAATTGAGAATTACCCGCTTTAGTAACTTAAATTTTAATTGTCCCTGCTACAAAAATTAAACAGAAGGTGGGCAAACATTTACTGTACCATCAATCAAAGAATGGAATAACCTGGATAAAGACCTTAAAGAACTAAAGAATGCCAAAGCTTTGAAAAAGAAAGTTATGAACAAAAAGTTATTTCCTTAGTAAACAAAATAGTGATTTGAACTTTTTATAAAATGGATGATGATATTTTAGCATGTTTTTATTATTATGAATTTTTAGTACATATACATGTTTATTACACGACTTAGGCAGTCAGAGGGCCAATAACTAAAATCAACCAATCAAAATGCTCTATTGCCGGTCAATATTCTCTCAGTATTGGACCGGACACTGTCCTGAATGGTCCCGAATGATACTGCACTTGTGTCCCTTTGAACTTCAGTCGTATAATAAATCTCTTATTAACCAAGCTTGCTCGGGACCGTACTGGAAGANGTACTGTCAAGACCTCAGGCTGATATTCTCCCAGTACAGCCCTAGTACTTGGTTAATAAGATATATTTACCTTATCTTGAAATGTGTTTTGGAATTGCTCCTTATGCATATAAGATCAAGATCAATTCAATTCTTTATTTCATGCTATAAATGACATTTACAGGGTTTATGTTAAAGATAAGAGAAAGAGAAAAAATGAAGGTAATATTTGGCCATAAAAATAAGGTTGAGATGTGCATGGTGTCCAAGGTAGCAAGAGCTTCCCAGTTGGACACTGTAATGGTCATATAAATAGCAGCCTATACTAAAAATAAAACAACAGTAAACCAAAGGAAAGGAAAATAATTAAGTTTGATTAAGCAAAAGTTGACGTTTCCATTCTTCCTTAAAGGTAATGCAGGACATGTGTTTAAGATGGCTGGGTATGGTTTCCCAGATCTTTGAATGTGTTAGTAAACTGGTCTAAAAAAATTGAAATTACTAGCAAATCTTGTATTATAATTATGTTTTTTGCATGCTGGGGTCAGGGCATCAAGAATGCTGGAACATCTGGAATGCTATCATAATATAATTATATATGTGATACCATAATATGCATGTGATACCACATAGGCTGCCTCATGGAGGATTAAATGAAAAAAAACTGTAGTTATTAAACAATTGCAGTTGTTTTAAGTGCTTATCCTTCATCGTCATATCAGATTCAAGTATTACCACCTTTATGTCAACCTTGTGTTCACTTTTAGTCATTATTTGTACATGTGGTCATTGAAAATAGTTTCAGGTTAAAATGTTTTAAACTAGTTTGAGTTGACTAATTTGATTGTCTATGGACTAGGGAATTACATTTTAAAACAAAGAAAGGAAAATATGACTTTTTATAAAACATTGATGTTAAAATTTATGAACAACATCTGCTTGAGCAGTATTTTAGTTCACTTCAGACAATCAAGTGTTGAATCTCTCCTTTCGAAAAAAATGCCAGAGACTAATAAAAAAGTAAGGTGTAAACAAAGAAGACAGCAGAAAATACATAGGGGGAGGGGGCAGTACCATTTTTCCACTCCAGAGTTTCTTTAGGTCTCCACGTCTCCAGCCAATAACAATACCAGTTATCAGAATACATGGAACCAAATACACAAGGGCAGGTTGTCCTTGCTCCATAACAAACAGCATAACAAATGTGATGAGTAAACCTACAGCATAAGCTGGAATAGAAGAACAAAATCAATAAAAACAAGACACTGATACCTGAACAATAATTTTTATCTCATAAAGAGCTCTCATTCAAACCACTTTTCAACTTGAAGTCTACCATTTATCATAAATAAAATTCATTCATGACAATAATTTAAAGCTTTCATAAATTGGGCATTTTGGTCAAAGTAACATGCTTCTGTGGCCTTACATTGTAAAACAACAATTATGCTGAGTGATGAATATATTGTAGTTAATTAAAAGTAAAAATTAAACTAATAATAGATTGAAATTATTAGCAATCAGTGCAATTAATAGAAGTACTCACCTTCAGTAGTTGCAACATAATATATCTTGCATGGAGTGTTTGTGATGATATCGAATGTGTGACAGAAACTGATGTACAGGGCTAAAAAAATTATTCAACATCATTTAGTGATCTTGACTCAATTGAAGGACAAAAAAAACTTTCCTTTTCTTCACAATCCCATCTCCTTTAAAGCCACAATAAGTGATTTTCAAATTTGAACCTGAAACTACAACCTTGCTAAACGCCGCTTAATTTAATACAATGTTGCACCACTTGGATTCAGGAATGAAGCCGACAGTTTGTATCTTTGGTTCAAAATTTCCATTTTGTTTCAAACTCGTTATCAGAAATTATTATTTCAAAAAGTAAAAGACCATGACCAAACTGAACCATGAAATACAGATTGATAATAGCATTCCTGTGCTTGATAATAGAATGGAGGAGTTGGAAGAGGTGACATATAAAAAATGGATTGCAGAGTACAGACAGTGTCAAAAGCAACTTCAGATACCTGACAAAAAGTTGATATAGTGTGCTAGTTCCTACATTGGTAATAATTGAGCTTACCAGGTACTAGGATATCTCCAAATCCTAGGATTGAATATGGTCTCAGACACACAGATAACACTGACTTTCTGAGTCGGGGTACCTTAATTACCATTGGTAATGATTCTTTACTATCACCACCTTAGAAAAGAAGGAAAAGCAGTGAGAGGTCAAGTGCCAAGTGAGTGAATAAAATGATACACAAAAGTACAAACTTAACCCTTTAACTCAGAAGTGATTACCAGGTAACTTCTCCCATACATCCAGCAAACAGGTAATGAAAATATTCAAAGATATCAGGTAGAAGTTGGGATCTTGATCTAACACCAAATTCTGGTAACCAATATACAAGGAAATTTCTACCAACTAAAGGGGAGAATCAACAATCAGACCTTAGCAATTAAAAGGTCACAAGGATACTTGCAAACACCAAAATATTAGAAAGGGAAGAAATAAATGAATAAAGCACTGTCATACTGCATTGAAGGTCCAAGTCATTTTAAAAGGAATTTTTTTAATGACAAGATTGTTTTCATTTTTTAATTTCATTTGGACTATCCCATAAGCACCCTTCTTCCCTTTTAAATTAGTATATGAAAGAGGGATCATCCCACCCAACCCTAAGTCAATTCCAAACTGAGTAACACAAACATTTACCTGTAGCAACTTCAACCATGATACTCTTGCCAGCAGAGAAGAGTGGTGTGATATACACAAAAAATGCATCGTAAATAAGAAGCAGGACCAGTAGCAGTGTGCAAACCTTCAGGCTCTGCAATCTGATGATTCGGATCAGACTTATACACAATGATATACCCAAGATGTCCTGGAGTATCCAGGCATAGCTAGAAAGACAAAATAAATTACAGAGAATTATCATTTTTCTGGTTGTAGCAATGTTGGTTCATACCATCAGAATTCACAAGTGACTGTACCTTTACTATAATTATAATAAATATACCATTATTCACTATTTTTCTTGTCATTAAAATGAAGGTAATGTAGGGTTGAATTCACCATATTGATTTCTGAGATATTTTTTCGTGATGATAGATACCTTTTATTCCTTTCAATGCCCCACCAGATGGCAATGGCCAAACAGAATGGTATCAACAAAACAGTTCTTATTTGTGGTTCTTTTTTCAAAAGTGGAATCTGGTTGGGAGGAACTTTACAATCTCCTAAATTGAAAGGAAAATCAAGAAAAGTTTTAAAATCATCTCTCAATTAATAACATTTGATCCTTCAAAATAACAACTAAGTATATTGTCCGGCAACTAGTCTAGACTATTTCTCAAGTGGTTGTTGCATGCTGTTTAATTGAATATTCAGAGTTCCCATTAATGCACAAGTGCGTGTCTTATACGCACAAAAAAATGAAAAGGATGCACAGTTTTTGCCAATGTGCATCCTCAGGATGCAGGAAAAAAGTTCCAACCAGTTAGGAGACTGGGTCTGGTGGGCTTTACTCAAGAATCAATGCAATCATCATGGCCTGCCCTTTGACGCACCATTTTGTAACCGTCAATGCCATGTCTACTCAATAGGGTTTATTCAATAAATTATATTCGATATTCGAGAAGGGAAACCTGAAAGTGATACAGATCTGGGGGATGATACCCAAGTGAAGAAACGCAAACTTTGTCCTAAATGGCTGAAGGAGTTTCAATGGTTAAAATATGATTCAACAGAAAAACAAATGAAATGCAAAGTTTGTCTTGACGTGTATGGCTGTCAACCTAAACCATCGCAAAGTTTTGTGCATAGAGCAATTAATTTTCAGTGCTCAAGTCTGACACAACATCAGTCTGGTAATGACCACATCGTGGCCATAAATATCATCAAACAAAAAAGATCTCATGAAACCATTGTGCATCATGTTCACGAGAAGGCAAGCACAGCACTGAAGGCTCAAGTAAGAACAGCTTTTGTCATGGTAAAAGAGGAAATTCCTGACAGGAAATTCAATAATGCACTGATTGATTTGCAGGTTAGTTAAGTCTATTGATTTCATATAAGAGACAGGTTTTCCCCTCATAATTTTTTCTTGTTTATTCATTGTTTATGTGTGGTGTTGATTCATAATTCATATAATGCTAATGGTTGCTCAGATCTGAAGAAAAGTGATGGGATTTATAGACATAACTCTACTGCCGCTGGGTTACAAAACTGCATTTCTGAAGTGTACAAGGAAGATGACCTACAGAGAATCAAAGGCAGTTGTTTTGTTGGCCTGATGTTGGATGAAAGTCTCAATAGAGCAGTTCAGAAAAAGTTGGTTCTATTTTTCAAGATACTTGTTCTGGAAAAAGCCAAGATTGAATTTGCTGCCAATATTGAGGTTAAGGATGGTAAAGCAGAGACTATCCATTCTACAGTTTTGAATTATCTTTTTTCAAACAACATTCCAGTAAAAAAGCTTTCCGGGTTAGGAACAGATGGTGCCTCAGTCATGACAGGTTGTCATAATGGTTTTGCTATGCAACTGCAAGGGTAAATGCCAAAATAGTTTCTGTTTGGTGTGTTGCTCACAAACTGGCCCTAGTTGCACACTGGGCTTCCAAGGCCACCCCTTATCTGGTTAGCTATGAAGAAATAGTTAATGGCATCTACAATTTCTTTCAATATTCTGCTGTTAGGAACAACAAGCACAAGGAATTAAAGAACCTGACAAATCAAAAGGTTAAACGCTTCAAGAAACCTACCCACAGCAGGTATGGTAGCTGTCAACTTATGAAGCTGTGGATGCCATTTATTCTGCATGGACATTGTTATAATATTGTCTCTGGAGCATGATGCAGTATCTAGCAGCAATGATGGGGCAGCCAAAGCAAGGGGAATGGTTAAAAAAATCAAATCTTTTGTTTTTATTGCAACTACTTGCTTCCTTCATGATGAACTTAGTGTTATCAGTAAATGCAGCAAAGTCTCTCAGAAGGACATGTTATACAAAACATGAAACCAAATTTTCACTATTACTAAAATTTTATGGTTTACTTAATTTATTCAACTTATAAATTGTATCATATTTGTATTTTATATAATTATAGACTAATTAATTTAGGCAGGTCCACATCAGCTGCAAAGCTGCATAAATTTTTAACCTGCGTTATCAAATAAAGTTATGTATGTATGTATGCATGCATGCATGCATGCATGCATGCATGTATGTATGTATGTATGTATGTATGTATGTATGTATGTATGTATGTATGTATGTATGTACATGATTGACATTGATCAAATGCAATCAATGCTAGAAGCAACTGTGTCAATGATCAAAGACATGAAAGAAAATCCTGGTGAGCATTTGGAAGAACTGCTTTCCCACATGGAAACAAATGATTGTGAACAGAAAGGAACCAAAGTGGAAGACTTCCATCTTGCGCAAAGAAAAAGTTTCTATGGAATCAAGGACAATTTCAATGACAACATCACTGCACAAATAAAAGAGAGATTTCCTGAAAAAGATATCTAAGTACTTCAAGTTCTCAATACCATTCTCAACCCTGCCAAATTACCTGGCACAGCTGCTGGAATTTGAAATCATGGTACCAAGATTCTAGAAAGACTAGTTGAGAGATATGCTGATGCATCTGAAGAAGAAAGTCTAATTGATGCTGATGAACCAAGAAATTCATTTATCCAGTTTAAGCACTTTCTTAATAGTAACAAGGACAAACCTCTTCATGAACTATGTGAAATTCTTGCAAAGCCAGGTGTTTACAAAGACATATTACCTTTGTTAATTTTTTAACCCTAGCACAAGTTTTTCAAACAATTCCTCTCACTTCTGTGCCTTGTGAAAGAGGGTTTTCTGAACAAAGTTGAATTCATGGGGCTTTAAGAAATAAAATGTCCCCAAGTGCAGTTGAATGTAAGATGTACATTTCTTATGCATCCAAAAACCATGTAGATGAGGAGAGTGTTTGTGATAGAGCAGTAACGAAATTCTACAAAATGAAGAGAAGAAGAAAGTAAAACTGTAGAATGACACTTGACTGTGACTTGATATGTAAGTCAAATAATTTTTGGTTTAATATTACTACTGTAACATATATTATCAACTAAGACAAGGTGAGACTCTCGCCAGTAAACTAATGCAAGGACTGTTGGTGTTAAGAAACATGTCGAGCACACTTTATTCCAAAATTAAAGCTCTATTAACTGCATTATCACCTGGTCTTGGCTTTTGCCTCTCTGATAGAAACTATAAAATCAAATTTTAGTAAAAGGCAGGGGACCCTTACAAAGCCTAAAGACCCCCAACTTTTTGGGACTGGGGGTCCCAGGGACCCTTAACTATCAAAACTAGTGGGAACTCTGAATATGTCTGACTGTCCTGTGAGATTGGCTTTGACATCTTGAGTCACCAGCTTAATCAGTCAGATACAAAACTACCAGGGACAGCCACTGTGTCACTCGTGTTTTCCTTTAATCTAATGACAACTTAGAGCTCTCATCGACTCCTATACGTATGTATCCTAATCTCTGTGACATTTAGCAAAACATTCTGATTGGCCATTGGGAACACTAAATATTTACTAAGAAAAAGTGAGCTGTACACCTAATATGCACAAGATTACAAAGATGTAAGGAGCAGAGAGCTCCTTTTTTTCTGGGGAAGGGGAGGGGGGAGAAAATATCCAACCCACCTCTGCATAGGAGTTACTATGTAAATCACTACAAAGCTGTATTTACTTACCAAAAGGAAACCATAGAACAAGAGGATGAAGACACTCGTACAATCCATTACAGGAAGCCAGAGCAAAGCCCACAATCACAACATACACCAGATACTTATAGAAATAGTACAGCAACAGTAGAGTGCAACAGACCAATAAAACAAATACAATGACCAACAGAGGTGTCACTTCAATAGAGTTCTCTTCAGCAGACTCCCCTTCTCTGTTAGCATTACTGTCATCTCCATCAGTGTTAGTATTGCCCCTTAACACACTCCTCCTTGACAGAACAGAATTAATTCAAATTACTTAAAGAACAATATAATATTGAATGTCCTTCTTCCTATTATCTACACACTAGGGGATGTGGAAATAATGTGCCAATTCAGTAGAACACCAGGGGCCTGTTTCTTGAAAGTGCTGGTAACCTAACCAGCCAGATGCCATCTATTAAAATCAAAATTTAAAGGATAGGAAAGCAGGTTCTGTCACCCAGACCAGTCCTTTTTGTTTCTTTAGCTCATAGTTTTGTTGTTTCATTTTCAAAACTTTTGAAATGGACCCCTATCTTGAATGAAAACAGAACAGCTTTTCGGGCCTGTTAAGTTACCTGGACATTTGAGAAACTGGCCCTAGCACGATAAGTAGCAACTGGATAGTAAGACCATCACCTTTAACACCTCTTTTTAGTTTTGGAGCTTTCAAGATATTCTTTGCTAAAATATGATGGCTGAAAAAGCTTGTAACTTCAAGGAAAAAGTGGGTATCAATGATTAATAATCTTTTAAGATATTAACCAACTTACATGATTTTCTTGTTGGTAATACCAGCCCAGTAAGCTCCAATAGCCACAGTACCCACAGCAAGTAACCACAACACTGCCAAATTGCCATCAATATTAGACAGTAAATCAGTGGGTGGAGCATACATCTGCACTTTGACATTACCACCAAAATCCTACATAAAAAGATTTAAAGATATTGCTAAAAGGCTATCCTGATTTACCTCTATCTTGGAAGATCATTCTTTCCACTCACTAAAATGACATTGTAAAATAAGACTTGTCTATAGGATACCTCTTGTAATTAGAACTCCCATTTTCTATAGTTTTTTGCCTCTGGTCCTTTTTGTTGCAAAAATGTTAATGAAGTGAACAAAGGATTACATGATTACAGGATTACATGATTACAAATTACAAATTACAGGATTACAGATTACAGGATTACAGGATTACAAGATTACAAATTCCTAAACTCTGATAATTTGTTGGAGAGTAGAGTGAAGATATTGACCAACCTTATCTTTGTATTTGATCCAATCATCATGACTAATTACAGCCATGGGTATTGTTACTTGAGCATACTCTTCTGATGAATTGGCAACTGGGGTAAACTGAATGATTAAAAAAGTAAATAAGAATCACTTAATTACTCAGAATGTGTAAACTGATACAAGAAATCACAGTTCCAACAGGTAAATTTAACAAAGTTAAAATCACACAATTTTAGACCCATCCAGAAAACTTGCCCTAATTGTTATTTATAAACATTTTAACCTTTTCAAAAAAAAATAAACCTCATATCAAAACAAGTAACTTATCTGACTCATGATTGAAATACATTCTAGCAATGATGATGACTCATTCAAGGACATCTAAACTTTTTAAGTCAAGAAGTCAAAGTTTCTTAGTCATCACTGATGCACTCCACATGTACATGCACTTGCAGTGAGAGCCTCATAAAACATGTGCATATGTTCACTTACCAAACTATCATTACTGACGATGAGTACTTCTCTTGCGTGAGCATTTTGAGAATACAAAGCTTTTGAAAACAATGTGCAGTTTCCCCTTTGTATTGCCACAGCAGTATCTTGTATCTTTGAGGGATTTTCTGGTACTTGGCAGAGAGTTGAAGGCTTAGCTTCTACCAAAGGATATTTAGGCTAATGAACACATAAAAGGGTAATTAACAATTCTAATAGCAGAAAAACAATGCAACCACACAAAAACAAGTCTCCTCCACAGCTATACTTAGACTCGTCACCCAATGCTCCTCTCTATGAACAGCTGCTTACTTCTACACTACATTCTTTGCCAATTTCTGACCACTTTGGTTTTAAATATTTGGGAGTTATGTTGTCCTCGACTTTTATATAATACTAAAGGTCTTTATTAAGAATTATTACACAAGAATTATTACACAAACAGATGTGCAACAATTAACATGAATAGAATGAATAAGGAAAAAGAAAAGGTATTAATTACTATTGAAAAGACATCTATTAATAAAAACTAATTTAAAACGGCTTGTCTGAACCTTAGGCAAAACATAATTATGTGACCTAGTTCTCAACTGCCGTGTTCTCTGGGGAGGTAACAGATTGCTCAACATAGTGTTGGTGGAAGAGATCCTTTGCCATAATTTCTTATCTCTATTACAATGGATATCCAAGATACTGTGTTGCTTTAAGCAGTAACCCAGCTTATAACACCTGGCAAAGAGCTTATCAATTCTACTGAAATATTTACTATAAAAAGCACACCCCCAGACCTCAATAGCATATGTAAAAACTGAAAGAATCAAACTTTGAAAAAGTAAGTCCAAATTCTCAGTAGGGTAGTCATAATATTTACATATTCTCAATATATACAACCTAATGCTAGCCTTACTAAGTAGATAATCAATATGAATGTCCCAATTAACTGGCACTTGCTCAAAGGTAACACCCAATAGTTTCAGTTTTTCTTTCCTCCCTATGATCTCGAGTGGTTCAGGAGGCGTCTTGGAAGTCTTTCCTCGTAAAAGAAGTTCCCATGTTTTCGTCAAGTTGACTTTCATGCAGTTCTTCTCAGACCATTCAATAAAGGATAGGACTTCCGTTTCGGATTCATCTAAGCCTACATTTGCCTCGATTGGTAAACTAATAGTTATATCATCAGCAAATTTAACTAGAAGATTCTTATTAGTATTAATGAAAATAGAAAATAAGACCGGCCCCAGGAGTGTACCTTGAGGAACACCCCTATTTATAGAAACATATTCAGTACTATGACCATCGACAACAACTCTCTTCTTTCTATGATTTAAAAAACTAATAAGCCAGTTAATAAGATATGGATTAATGTTAACTTGCTTTAATTTACTACAGGGGAAATTGTGTGATACAGAGTCGAAGGCCTTACTAAAGTCAAAGGAAAAAATTCTGACAAAATTGGCGTTACCATCAAGCCACTTTAACCATGTGTGTTGACATTTAATTAATGCCATAGTAGAGTTACATGGTCCAACCATGTTGAGTATACTTCATGTAGGGTTAATAAGAACTTTGGTCTTTTACGTAGGATTAAGTATTATTTACCTTATAATGCTCGGTTACTTTTTCTATCGTGTAAGATGGTTATCATTAGGTGTTGACAACTACTAAATATTATAGTATACACTGAGAATTTTTCTACTAAGAAACCGAGTTAATTTTTGGAATCCCTTGACATTTCTTAACAAATGCTTGATATTTGCAAGATGTTTGAAAGACACTTTCAGTGAAAATTTTACGAAAATATTTGACTACAGAGCATTTAGCCTATTTCAGGCCCTGCCCGGCTGCCAGGCATTTAGACACAGCATTATTATTATTACCCTCATTGTACACCAGTTAAAGTAAACCCAATGCAAACAGAGGTGACAGAACTAAGGGAATACCCCACCTACTTGTGCCTTGAAGAGCTGCCAATAAGGTACCTATTCCCTACCAAGCAAGCTCCAAAACTCAACAACAACAATTTACTTCACGTCGGTAACGTAGGGGGTGGTTAGCCAATCCCCCGAGCCTAATGGCTCATGTTAAGAACACTCGACAAATAAAATAAAGATGTGTATATAAATATATGTCCAAGTTAAATATAATAAAAATGCAAAAATATCCCCTTGCTCCCTACCCCTAATCCCAATCCTGAACCTTCCCTGAAACCCTACCAGCCCTAATCACCTAACATTATAGCGCTAACCCCAAGCCTAATTACCAATTCATAACCCTATCCCTACAATTGTATACTAATACACTTATTACACTTACAGCCAAGCGTAGTTACAGTATGCGAGGTGGGCCAGAATTAAATTCTGATAGAGTGGTTGCCGATTTAATTGAAGATGGTAACTGGTTAGCAAGCATGAGACAGTCTTTGTACTCAGTAGATCTACTTAAATTAAGCCCAGCACATTATTGGCTTTGTAAGCAAATGCACAGTATTGAAGATCAATACAGTACATGATACTTACTAATTAATTTTGTATCATCCAGTTTACCATTTCCAGATTTTACCAACTTTTACTATGGGTACTTAACAGTGACACTAAATACGTGCAGGTTTCATATACACGCAGTGTAATTCTGATCCACTTTAAAAGTAAATATGACATGCGGGGTCAAAAATCTAACACTTTTGACCCTCTGGGAAATTGGGAAAGATATGTGGTTCAATTCCTTGGGAATTATATGGTTCAACCCCTCTTAGAAAAATACGGTTTGACCCCTCTCAGAAATATATGGTATTGACCCCCCTCCTCCCCCTCAGAAATCCCCGGCCTTCACTATACGGGATGCGGATATTAAGGGGATGGCCCATTTAATGAAAATTGTATTGACGGCGATTCCGGATTTCACAACATGAAGCCTAAATAATTACATATAGAACGAAAAAGGGAAATTAAAACAGTTCCCTCTGGCCTTCATGTTTCAACCGAGGTAAACTTCCATCAAAACAAACAAAAACAAAATAACCCAAATGTAAACAATCTTATTTTTATTACGTTAGCTTCGTTTCCTCGCAACTTAACCAGTCGTGAAAAAATCCCAAAAGATCAGCAAATCTATGTTTTGAAGGAAAGCCAGAATTTTTTAAAGATAATAGAACTAATAAAAAATCAGTATTTACCGTGCTATCCAGATGAGTAGGCAGAGGCACCCACTGCTCATTAAAGGCGATGCAGAAGTCCTTAGAATCTTCGCTTCCCTCGACGTGAAGAACGCCCAACTGACCGGCATTTTGTCCAGCTCCCTGATAAAAAAAAAAAGAGTGTTATTCAAATCCCTACTTCAGAGCGATTCACCACTAAATAAATACTTGATTTCATCTGGATCATCAACACACCTGGTTCGTAAAAGTAAAAAACATCAGTAACAACCCAAACCCGCTTCCAGAGGCTGCCATCTTTTTCCTCTTTCACAGAGGAAATGGACTTGGCAAATAGCTACGTCATAACTCCCTCCCAGACCCTTTCTTGCTTGACGACGCCTGGATTCTCGTAAATGAATTCATTTATTGTAATGTATCGTTTTGATGGAAGAACGAAACAAACTCACAAAATGGCTCGCTCGCGAAGCCCAGTTGAACCATAAACACGAAGAAATGTAAGGTTAACTTTCTATGTATTGGTGTTTTACTTGATGCCTCACTCGGCAGCAATTGGTTTCAAGGTCTTTCGAAAGACACACACTATTCAAAACTGCTGGTCAGCTGTCGGGTCATCTGTGAACTTCTTTGTCCTTCATGGTAGAGAGCGGTCATTGCGATAAGAATCTCTCCATCTAAAAAAAAAGGAATAGTAACCTTTTCTGTGGTGAGAATCGTTGGACTGATCTCGGTTATAATTCTAAACTCTTAGATCTTGTACTGGACATCAAAAAGGCAATTGATATTTCGTACGCCAAATAGACCTGTTTTCAGAACTGTAAACAGAAGTAATGACTGACAGCCATCCAGACTTTTTCTCTAGTTATAGAAATTCTTTCACAATTTAAGTTTGCATATTAAGTGAGAACTTTAATCAGCAAGATTTCCGTTTAACCCCATACTTCATTATGCATTCAATTCTTGGATAAAGGAAAGCAGCTCAAGGCAAAACGACATATTTCCTTTGGGACTATATACGGCTTTGTTTTTGATTGGTATGGGGTTATACGGAAATCTTTCCCTTTAATCCAAATAAATAAAAATAGGGAACATGGAACTATGAATAATGTTGGGAAATCAGATTAAAATCTGTCTACTCTTCAGAGCTGTACAAACAATCATATACCAGAAAAGGAGAACCTTATGCACCAATCAATGTCTTGCCCCAAGGGGGGGAGCCCGGGCATACGCAGGGGCTATTGACATTTTTGAAAAAAAAATTGTCAATAAGCCCCTCTGGAGGGCCTTCTCAGAATAACAATAGGCCCCACACAAGGAGGAAAGATACATGTTTCATTTATCTAAGGAATACCAGGACACTGAGAGATATATTTCCTCAACAGAAGTTGAGGAGTATGCTATGATGCCACGAGCGAGACTGTCAAACAAAGTTTCAACTTTAACTTTTTTCCTATTTATATATGCACAGAATGTGCAGACATTGAATGAAAACTTATTGTACTAGCTATTAAAAAATTAAAAATAAACAAGCTGAATGTATTTAAGTTTTTTTATGCCTTTTTTGCTTCTGTTGATGTAGTTGGCGTGAAAGCCGCCATTTTGATTTATGCCAACTTGACTCTCTTTCCCAGTCCTTCTCTGACGAAATGGTCAATAAACCCTACCCTGGGGTGAGCCCTGTGTCAATAAAAGTATACAGCCCCTCTCCTGGGCAAGGCTATTTTGTCAATAGCCTGTCTATGCCTGGGCTCCCCCCGTTGGGGCAAGACATTGGTTGGTGCATTATCTTGAAGTAATGCAAACTTTCACAGACTTTCAGTTGCCATCATTTTCTGGCTTTTGAGGGTTGTAATTAACCTCTCCAGTTATGGTTATTGGTGACAATTTGTTCATTATCAGTAACAGTGAGGCATTACATTTGCTGCTTTCTTAAGGGCTGGACTTGGATGAAGGAATATGGGATATTTAGTTTGATACATCTTCATCACCAACTAGCAGTTTTCTTGCTGTGGTACCAGTGCATACTATTATTGAATGCATTGTTTTCAGCTTGGTCAAACGTGAGATGTTGCTGGCAGAAAATGAGGCACTAATGAGTTCACAGCAGAAGAAACTACAATTGACTTCAAGTGACTTTCAGAGAACTAAGGCAAGGAATGAGCAGTTAGTGCAGGTAATGTTCAGTAATTGCATAAAAAATAATAACGGTGATGACAACATTGATAACAATGAATCATGGATTGAAATAAAACATTTCTATGTCAAATAATGGTTGCATAGTAGGAACAAAGAAAATATATTACAATTGAGGTGAAGACTTTTAAAAATGAACAGCAGTTTGCATGATAGATTAAGCTTTTTTTAGACACAACAAGGTTCCCTGCAGCCATTTCTTGAATTTAAATTATGTGCATTTTTCTACATGCCTCCCAGCCCGAATTGGACAATTTTTTTTTGTCAACTGAGTTGATAATGTAAATTGGCCACTCTAAAGAATTTAAAAACTGATGTTGTGAGCATTAGCCCTTCTTCAGAGTGAAACATTCACAACACGACAGTTTCTTTAGAAACTATCCCTCTAAAGTCAGACATCTTGATGCACGACACTTATGAGTGTTTTTTACTGAACTCTCCAGGAGTTGGAAGCACTTCAGAATGGATTGGGAAAAATGGCATCCATGTGTTCTAATGATGCACAGTTTATCAGTCTTAAGGTGGGTTTCAAGAAAGTTGTAGGCTTGAATAAACAGGTTAGTGTTTTTATTAATTGGTCTTGTTACACTTCAGGAGAGTTACTGGAAAATGGTTGAACAAGAATTTCCCAGGTGGATAGCAAAAAATGAAGCCAGCAAGAGCAAAGATCAAAACTAAAGGCAGTAAGATCTTAAACATCAGTGTACACTGATGAACCATATACATCAGTATTGGCTCAGGAACTGGCGGTCAAAAGATCAAACATTATAATAACTAATTGTCTGTTTGGCAGGAGAGTTATCACTGACTCATGAGAAACCCGACAAACTCAGGTGTATGTCTGTAGTCAGCAGATCAGGGTAGTTGTATCCCTGGAATGTGCAAATAATAGTCTACAAAAAGTATACTGCTTGCTTATTTCAAGTTTTGCTGGCTGTGTTATTAGTCACTGAGCATTTTCAAGCCTGGGCTATGTTCAAGTTTGCTGGTAGAATTGGATCCCAAGGACTTGTTTCTTTAAAGTCATAAGTATAATTAGTGTTAATAATTTTAAAGACGATATTAGAGTACCACCTTGTTTTTAAGAATTTTAAGCTTTTATTGTTTTAGACTTGTAAGTAGTAAGTAGCGATGTGATTTTAGCTGGGTATATCCTATTTATTCTCTAATTCATTAGTTATCTTACTTAATTATTTAGACACGACCCCACAAGCGAAGTGTCGCTTTAAATACTTATCGTGTATAAATAAAGATTATTGATTGATTGATTGATTGATGGTAACTTCAAGAACTTAATTTCCTATTTAATAGTCGAAATCTATGGAATTATAGGTCAATGTTCAGCCCAAAAACCAGTCTTCTCTGTTTTGTTTTTTGATATAAATAATTACATAAAACAATTCACATCTCAAGTTTGAATGTAAACAGGTCAAACAAGAAAAAGCTTATTGGGACTGAACTCTAGGGAATATTTGAGAACTGGGCTTAGTAATTTTTAATTTTATATACTGATCAGTTCATGACAGGGGCAGCAATCCACTCATGGTTTGCACCCTGCAAATGGGATTATACTGTGTGCACGCGCATCTACATGGTTTTCATTAGTCACCGAGATAGCAAGAATTGCAGCCATTCGTAACTTTCAACGTAACTTTATTTCACCCAGAGTTAGTAAAGGAAAGAAGACATAAAACAACATCAATTGAAGAGTACCAAATACAGTTACATCGGCAGCCTTTTCTGAAAAATGTTTTACTGAAAATAACTGACAGTTACGTAAGCTGTGATCGCGCCTCTTTCCCTGCTCCAATGGGGTGTGAACGAAGATGAAAGGAGTACCTTACGGTGGCCCACAGGTGCCACTGCTGCACACTGTAAAACAAACACGTTTCTAATTAAAACCTTGCTTTCTCTTTGCAATTGTTCTTGTTTTCCATACAAATATAAGCCGGTTAGAAATGAGCCTCCTCTGTAGAAATCCGCTTTCTCCCCAGAAATGAGCCCCTCTGTAGAAATGAGCCTCCTCCGTATAAATGAGCCTCCTCCATGGAACTGAGCCTCCTCTGTAGAAATGAGCCTCCTCCGTGGAAATCAAAGTGCTGGTACCTATAGTCCAGGCTTCTCTCTATTAGCAGTCTGCCATTTTTCATATCGCCAATTTTTGCAGCTCCTGTGGCGAAATTCTGGGCCAGTATGCCATGGCCAATTTTTGCCCCACTCCCGTGGCACGAAAGTGCACGCAGGTTAATGATTGTTTCTTTTTTTTTATTTCTGTGTTTGAAATGTGATTTCATATTTTTTATAAAACCTGATAAACGATGATGTTCTAATGATGTTCCTAGTCAAATCTTCATCAACGTTTATTTTCTTTTTCACATGATTATAGCCCTGAAGTCTCCTTTTAACAGTGCGAAGACTCATAGTGATGCCATGGTAGACCTGTATGTAGCAGATCTGTGATTGTTTTATAATCATAACCCAAATGGAATACTTCTCTATTACCACGCTCTCTATCACATTGAACTCTAAAAAAAATAATGTTTAAAAACTATTTGTAAGTGCCAAGCTTGTTGGTAGCACAAGTACCCCAGTATTTCTTAGTATTGCTAATATTCAAACAACACCAAGATTATGGGGTGCGTGTGCACCCGGATTAATTATATTAATACCCTAGTCTGTACTGCAACGATTCAAGTGAAAAATAGGTAGGCCACCAGTAATAATTTGGGAATAGTCAATAAAGATAAGGCCTTGACAATACACATGAATATCTAACTAAAAAGTAAAATATTTCAGGGAAGACAATGTAGACAAGCTACACTAAAATGTAATTCTTAAAAACTGTGTTGTTTTCATTCCTTTTTTGCATGGAGCAGGCTAACTTCATTTAACTGTACTACTCGATCATCGTTTATAAGGTTTCATATAAAACATGAAATCACATTTCAAACTCATACACAAAAAAAAGAAACGATCATTTACCTGCGTGCACTTTCGTGCCACATTTGGGGCAAAAATTGGCCATGGCATACTGGCCCAGACTTTCGCCACATGAGCTGCAAAAATTCGCCATTATCAAAAATGGCGGATTGCTACTAGAGAGAAACTTAGGCTATAGGTACCAGTACTTTGATTTCCACGGAGGAGGCTCATTTCTACGGCTCATTTATACGGAGGAGGCTCAGTTCTACGGAGGAGGCTCATTTATACGGAGGAGGCTCATTTCTACGGAGGAAGCGGATTTCTACTGAGGAGGCTCATTTCTAAGCAACGTGCTTGCATTTGTATGGAAAACAAGAACAATTGCAAAGAGAGAGAAGCTACTAGGTTTTAATTAGAAACGTGTTTGTTTTACAGTGAGCAGCAGTGGCACCTGTGGGCCACCTTTCGCTATACGGCTGGTTGAGCGAGTGGGAAGAAATGAATTTAATCCTGTGTTCTGATTGGCCAGTCGAGCGAGAAAGATGAAGCTGATAGTGTGTTGCGATTGGCCAGTCGAGGGGGAAAGATGACGCTAATCCTGTGTCCTGATTGGCCACTCAAGCGAACAAGATGATCAAAGCCCTCTCTGAGCACTCTAAATCTAATTATAGTTCTCCACTAAATTTCTCCGATTCTTATTGGTTTTTAAATTGACCACATGACGCGATAGTGTTCATCCGTGGAGAGACACTATCAGCCCATAGTGCCCGTCCGCGGGAAATATCCGGATGGATAGTGGCCGTCCGCGAAAAATACCCGGATGGATAGTACTCATCCGTGAAAAATTTTGAATGGTTTGACGGCCGCGAAGGTAGGCAGATCGGAAAAATAGTGACTTTTCAATTCTGACAGGTATAACGTATTATTTAGCCAATGTACGGTTGCGAGTTATTGACATTTGTGGCAGACTGCATGAATAAACATTTGATTGATCTGCATTTAGTGGGTTTTGACTGTTTTTCAACTGAGGCGCGGAAGAAAATTTAGTGGTGAACAATAAAGACAATAGAGTGTTTATGTCTCGGAACTGTCGGTCTGATAGTTCCCCTTTGGAAATTTGATGTTCTTAAAACTAGCATATTTGCCCTTGAAGCTTCTCTTCTCGAGCAAATATTTGTTTTAAGAACATCAAATTTCCGCAGGGCAACTATCAGCCTATAGTTCCTTGACAGAAACACTCAGTCATTCGTTTAAATAGTTTTTGTAAGCGATTCACTGTACGCAACGTTTGATAGGATGATTAAAGTTTTTAGTCCGTCTTCGATAGATAGATAGATAGATAGATAGATAGATAGATGGATGGATGGATGGATGGATGGATAGATAGATAGATAGATGGATGGATCGATAGATAGATAGACAGATAGATAGATAGATAGATAGATAGATAGATAGATAGATAGACAGATAGATAGATAGATAGATAGATAGATAGATAGATAGACAGATAGATAGATAGATAGATAGATAGA